TTTCCACACTTATAGAGAATATAGAGAAGAAGTGCACAATGCTAATATTTTTTTTAAATAATGCATAAAAGATACATTAAATCAATAAAGAAAACATTACACACACTACATACCATGTATTTGACGCACACACGCATGCATACTATTTATTGTCAAACTTTTGTTCTTGACGTCTGTTGTCAAATTGAGAATAGATTAAATATTGTTTGTCTTTGTTAATATTTTTTACAGTGTAGTCTTGGCGAAATTTGTGATTATAGAAGTATAAAATACAATCATAATAGTGTACAAACTTACAATTCTAATTAATTATAGTCGAATTTCGACTACTGCGGGAACTCTAGTACAGTTTTAATGCGAGAAGACGATATTTTGGTTTAACTGTCAATCAAAGTAATTGTTTTCTCGTTAGGTTCAAGATGCATACGAAGAGGTCGAAGAACAGCGAGCCGTGGCCGCGCAATGGAAACGAAAATTGCAAAAACTCACCAACGACATGGCCGACCTGAGGTCGCTTCTCGACGAACAGGTAAGGATGTCACGTAAATGTTTTTAATTATTTTTACATAGTATCCTAATTTAATGATTTACTTGAACGATGTCACGTACGCACTCCTATCTCATCGGCATTCAGTATCATCAAGATTTATAATCGATTTTTAATGAGAGAAAAAATATCAATTTAGCTAAGGCGGAGAAATGTAAACCGTTCCATCGATTTGCTTAGTGTACGTTGGACATTTTAAGTTTCACTACAAGAAGAAAGAGGTGCTGTCAAACAATTCTGTCGTGTTCCACTATAGACGTAAAGTATATTTTACAATCAACGAATTGATCGCGTTATACGGATCCCCTGATTGCAATTTATTTTCAAATAACATTTTTTTTTTTTATATTTTTCGAGCTGACCTGTCAGACTTCGTAGTGCCTCAATCGATAAATAAAAGACCTAAACTTTTGTATAAAATAAACTTAAAACAAATCAAAGGAATCCGTCCGACGGGGTATACATCAAAGGACACATATACCTTTTAAACCTTCTATGGACTTCCATAAAGAATTCAAGACCAAAATTAGCCAAATCGGTCCAGCCGTTCTCGAGTTTTAGCGAGACTAACGAACAGCAATTCATTTATATATGTATACTAGTTGTATCCGATCGCTTCGCTGGGCATTTAAAATTACATTACTATTTCTCACCCCCCACAACGATTCTCATCANAGGACATATTATATACCTTTTAAACCTTCTATGGACTTCCATAAAGAATTCAAGACCAAAATTAGCCAAATCGGTCCAGCCGTTCTCGAGTTTTAGCGAGACTAACGAACAGCAATTCATTTATATATGTATACTAGTTGTATCCGATCGCTTCGCTGGGCATTTAAAATTACATTACTATTTCTCACCCCCCACAACGATTCTCATCATTAACGACCCCGCAACTGGTGCAGGGAGTCCAGCATTCATATAAATATTAGCCTATCCATTAAGTACATGTATTTTCTACATGGATACCAAGTTTCAAGTCAATCGGATGCGTGGTTCAGTAGTTACAACGGAACATCCGTAAAAACAACTGTAGATTTATATATTTAGTATAGATATTTTTACTTTTTGCAGACGTGCCGTAACAATTTGCTGGAGAAACGGCAGCGTAAGTTCGACGGTGAGCTACAGGCGGCGCAGGAAGAACTGAAGAGAGAACGATCGGCCAAGGAGCGGATCTCTCGCGAGAGAGATCTAGCGCAGGCGGAGAAGTTCGCAATGGAGCAGTCCCTTTCTGTGAGTGAAAATGACAAAGTGCCTTAATGAAAACTTTTATTAGTCGGCGCACAGTAGGGCTGCCTCATTGTCTATTTTGCTGATGCGACGCTTTTATATTTTACTAGCGGCCCGCTCCGGCTCCGCTCGGTTCAACAAAAATTTCATGAATATTTGTGTCGTTATTTTATTTTTTTTAATAAAAGAACACTTATCGCGGCATAACTATAATAGTTAGAAATATGCTGTCGCAACACTTTTTGTAAATAATAATGTGTTCTACAAAATCGTAGTATATTATTTTATACTATCATCAATAGTTTTCGCAGGGCACGCGATGTAAAGAATATTTTAGGTGATTTTTTTACACCTTGGGTTACATTATTGGAGTTTCAGTAAGAATCCCTAATTTTTTTCAAAAAAGATTATAGTCTATGTCACTCGGGAATAGTGTAGCTTCTAAACAGTGAAAGAATTTTGTTCAAATCGGTTCAGTATCTAGTTTCGGAGCCTATTCAATACAAACAAACAAACAAATTTTTCCTCTTTATAATATTAGTATAGATTCTATATCATTTTCAACTTTACGATGTCTCTACTATGTGGTTATGTGGTTAGCGAATAATAATAAAAAATCTTATAAGTTGTTTAAGCGCGTAATTATTGCTGGTAGATTAGTTAGTTTTATGGTCTTGTTGTGGAATGTTTGTGACTCTTCATACGGCTTTGAAGTAGCCACCTTTGGATCAGATTTATTGAATTTGTTTTTCTTGTATTATTTCCTTCTTTAATCTAAGGCAAAATCCTAAAACATTTAAAAAAAAGTTGGATGATTATAAATATTTTACCTTCAAGATAATCAACATTTATACAAGGTACATACCAGAAGTTTTTATTTTATTTTAGATTGGACGAACTCAAAGCCCACGTGTTGTTAAGTGGTTACTGGAGCCCATAAACATCTACAACGTAAACGCGCCACCCACCTTGAGATATAAGCTCTAAGGTCTCAAGTATAGTTACAACGGCTGCCCCGTCCTTCAAACCGAAACGCATTATTTCTTCACGGCAGAAAATAGGCAGGGCGGTGGTACCTACGCGTGCGGACCCACAAGAAGTCCTACCACCAGTAATTACGCAAATTATAATTATGCGGGTTTGATTTTTATTACATGATGTTATTCCTTCACCGTGGAAGTCAATCGTGAACATTTCTTAAGTACATATTTCATTAGAAAAATTGGTCTCATACTTTAAGCCACGACGACTTTTGAAGATCTTCAAGATAATCAACATTTATACAAGGTACAGACCAGAAGTGGGGTAGGATTAATTTTTGGGAAAAAAGAGGGGAGGTCATTACAGACAAATTACTGCGGAATCGGTTACAGAAGACTTGTGAGGTTGGGATATGGATCTCTCTCACAGCGGCATCGCCCGGGCGGCCTGGTAGGGCCGCCGTACCGCGGAGACCGACGTCATTGATCATCGACTATCGCCTCGACGACCCGTCGGTCGGGCGTCCTCGGGGTGGCGCCGCGTGCCTGGTTGTAGTGTTGACCGCGGGAACCCCCCTACTCTGACCGGGTTTTGACCCCGGACGGAGATCTGACGTTGGGTGTAAGAGTGCAGGGGAGTCGTTTAGTGGGTGGGCCCTAAAATTCCTCGGACCCGCGGTCTGCTCCCAACACCTTGCAGATCGTTGAGTCCCACATATCCCGCGCGCCCCCTAGGCGCGTACCTCGTAGGAGGTAAGGCTCCGGCCAGAAAAAAAAATGTAGCTCTCACACATATGTCTTGGTGTTCTACAGGAAGCTCGTATGGAGTTGGAGCTGAAAGAAGAGCGGCTGTCGGCGGCGGCACGCGAGCTGGAGGAGCGGGGCGGCGGCGGCGACGAGCTGGCGGCGCTGCGCCGCGCCCGCGCCGACCTCGAGCGCCGCGTGCGCGACCAGGACGAGGAGCTCGACGACCTCGCCGGACAGATACAGGTCAATACCTAGCTTCTTTTTAAACACGCTTTTGCTTTAGCTTCAGACGTACAGTAGGCGTTTTTAAGAGCTAAGATTTATTTTCAATTTTTTTAGTGGAATTTTCTATAAAAGCGTATTACGATTATTTATTCTTTTATTTTTTTTGTTGAATTCAAATTTTTTCAATATATATTTTTTAATATCGAATTGTCATTGGTCCTTAATATGTATACCAAATTTCGAGTTAATCCGACGTTTTGATGGTGATCAAAATCATGTTCAAAGATTCGGTTACATACTAACATAGTTACATACGATTAACAGCATGCTTATTAATAAGTTGTTATTAATTAAAAGGCTTTTTAATTTCAACTTGTATATTACATAATTATATTTATATTGCATTATTTTTCTCATTATTGCATTGCAGGAAGAAATTATATTAATACGCTTTTACTAGCTTCAGACGTATGTATGTTAGTATGTAACGGAATCTATGTACATGATTTTGAGCCCCTTCAAAACGTCGGAGGATTAACTCGAAATTTGGTAGACTTAATAAGGACCGATTGACAATATTATATTTTCTTATCACGGTTTGAAGTATTGGTTTTTTTTTTGTTAGTTAATTATGAAGTACATAAACACCGACCATTCTATTCTGTAAACTATATAACTTCAAGTAGAACGAAGAACGAATCAAAACGAGAATGAACGAATGTGATTGCTTAATGTGTTGATAGGTTTATGATATTTGTATAGGTATATAATATATACCTATACAAATATATATGTAAATAGGTATTAATCTAATTTCAACATATTCATAAGTAACAGAATTATAATAATAGTATAGCCTGCCTATTTCTACCGTGAAGCAGTAATGCGTTTCGGTTTGAAGGGTGGCGCTACCTTTGTAACTATACTGAGAACTTAGAACTTATATCTCAAGGTGGGTGGCGCATTTACGTTGTAGATGTCTATGGGCTCCAGTAACTACTTAACACCAGGTGGGCTGTGAGCTCGTCCACGCATTTAAGCAATAAAAAAAAAGTTTTTATAAAGTTTATCAAGTGTTCTTTTGTCTCTCTGTGCAGTTGCTTGAAAGTTCGAAGCTTCGCCTGGAAATGTTACTGGAGCAACAGCGCAAGGAAGCGCGCCTGGAAGCCGCCGCCCGCGACGACGAAATGGAGGAGACCAGAGCCAACGCTGTCAAGAAACTGAAGAGTTAGTGTTCGCCTTTTTTCCCAATCCAATTAAGGAACGTGGATCTCCATGATGACCTGGAGCTTGATAGCCTTGAGAGGTTATTTCAGCGTAACCCTAACAAGTAGGTGAACTCACGGGGCTCAAACCTGACGATGTTGCTAACACGAACCCTAGCAAGAGCCGTCCTTCGCAGAATCTACCACCGGATCGGAATCGCGACCCACTGAGAAGATCCGGCGAGAAACTCAGTGGGCTGTGTCTGTGGGTTAATTTACTCGTCGAGCCCTTCATTACATTCACGTGCGTTCAGGTCGCGTTCGTTCGGTTACAGCAAGAACAACAATTAGCTAGCAGCTAGTATTACACGATACTTTACAAATGTCTCTCGTGTTTATACAAGTATTTTATTGAAGTGAAACTTCTTTAGGCGCATGAGGGTAAAATTTTTANGAAACTCAGTGGGCTGTGTCTGTGGGTTAATTTACTCGTCGAGCCCTTCATTACATTCACGTGCGTTCAGGTCGCGTTCGTTCGGTTACAGCAAGAACAACAATTAGCTAGCAGCTAGTATTACACGATACTTTACAAATGTCTCTCGTGTTTATACAAGTATTTTATTGAAGTGAAACTTCTTTAGGCGCATGAGGGTAAAATTTTTACATAACGTCACGCAGGTATGCAACGGAAGTGACATCAAACTACTATTGAAATTAAGTACTTGTCAAATGTCAGTAGTAGTAGTTGTTGTATTTTTCCAACTGGAAAGGCAAATGTATCATACCCTACAGCCTAATATTTTATAATTTTTTTGTGAAAAATGTCAATAGGAATTGAAATGAAATGAAAAGAATTTGGAACATTAATCAAATAGCATAAAATTAAATTAGTCAATTCAATTGGCAAAATATTAGTCATTTACAGTTTAAAAATCTAAACATAATGTGACTGTCAACAATGAGGTTTGAGATTGACATTTTACAGACTTTTGGCGGGAACATATCTTCCTTTTTCCCTTCCTCTAAGTCTCGGAAATCTAAAGTTTTAGATTTGTATAAATATAAGCAAGACTTATAATTTAGTTCGCCAAAAAAGTTTCACTTCTGACATGTGTACTTTGTACGCACGCACTTTAACGTAAAATCGATTAGATTGGTTAAATGTTAAACGTTTTGGAAGTTTACATTCATTGTGTATATTAAAATAGTGATGCAAAATTCATTGGTACGAATTAACAAAAATTTACCAAAATACAAAATTGAACGATGTATTGTTTCTCGTTGATATTATCGAATGGAATTAAATTTTTGTAGCCTAGTTTTTTTTTATACACCCGCGTTTTGATCTTTATATTTTGTGTAAAAAAAAGTATGTACATACTTGTGTCAAGCTTAGGTAGCTTAGATTCAAAATACGAAATTCGCTAAATACAAAATTGAATGATGTGGTTGTGATTCTCGTTGATATTATCGAAGTTTAATTCGTAGTCTAAACTTTGTGCAAAAAAAGGGTGCGTGTACTTATGTACGCGCGTAAGAAGTTATACTTTATTTTTATTAAATTTATTTCTTTTTCTTTTATTTAAATTTTAATCAATTTGAAAAAAAATCGATTAAACAACATCCTTAAACACGCATATTGGACATCCCTTTTCTTGACATCGTATAAATTCGGTAATTCTCGGTACGGTTCGGAAAGTTCACCTGCGGTTATATTCAGCCTCGCCAAGTTACGTCGGTCGTATTGTAATGAGCGATTTAGTGGGCAACTTGATTCTGTTCATTTTGTGTCACGGTGCGCGCGCATCGTAAAATTTCACTCTCGACAATTTTTCATAACGCGCCTAAAGAAGTATAACTTCAAACAAAAAAAAAAACAAATAATATTTGTATCGACCTGCAGTACTGGAGAGTCAGCTGGAGAGCGAGCACGCCGAGCGCAGCCTGCTGCTCCGCGAGCGCCACGAGCTGGAGCGGCGCCTGGCCGCGCTCGAGGAGGCCGCGCGCGCCGACACGCACGAGCACGCGCAGCTCGCGCAGAGACTCAAGCGGTACGTACCTAACTAACTTTTTTTTTTATTGCTTAGATAGGTGGACGAGCTCACAGCCCACCCGGTGTTAAGCGGTTACTGGAGCCCATAGACATCTACAATGTAAATACGCCACCCACCTTGAAATATAAGTTCTAAGGTCTCAAGTATAGTTACAGCGGCTGCCCCACCCTTCAAACCGAAACGCATTACTGCTGCAGAAATAGGCAGGGCGGTGGTACCTACCCGCGCGGACTCACAAGAGGTCCTACCACCAGTATGCAGTATGCAATTAGACCAGCGTCGCTAGCGGCAAACTTACGCAAACGATCCCATTCCGTACTAACTTTCACGCTATCGAGAACGTTAAAAAACTCGCACTAAGCATACAGTACTTACTACTGCTCACTTAGCACACCACGCTCTTGGGAGCTAGCGGCTTGTGCTGGCATTGTTGACGTCCGTGATCAACAGTAGTAACCTATGCCTACAAAAGGCAATTTAAAAAAAAACGGAATTTCTAAATGGTTTATGTAATATTTGTTTTTTTTCCTCTCAAATTAATAAGTAAGTAATATCCTTCGAGATTGTTTTCAACATTTTGAGTCTGTCAGGAAGTTTGTTTCAAATATATTCTTTTATACGTAGATAAGTAAAACAAGGTCACTGCCCACTTGGTGGTAAAGTGAATGCCACAACCCACCTTAGGAAATGAGGTCATAGTCTCAATCGTATCGTATGACGGCAGTTCCACCCTTCGAACTAGAACACAAAACAGCTTCGCGGCAGAAATAGGCAGAGTAGTAGTACCTACCATCAGTGCAGGCTCACAAGACGCCCTACTACATACTAGTAAATACCGATTTTCTAGTACGCTGGTATAATACTCTACTGTCCATTACCGACAAACCCATAATCCTCTTTTACAAAACCCACGGAATGTCATGGAGTAACTGCTATACTAGTACCTAAAAAAAAACTGGTCTCATCGTATTGGAAAGTTTTTGAATTTGTCGATTTAGGAAACGGTTTTACTACACCCTCTATCTATACTATTATCTATACTAATATATAAATCTACAGTGGTTTTTACGGATGTTCCGCTATAACTACTGAACCGTGCATCCGATTGACTTGAAACTTGGCATCCGTGTAGAAAATACATGTACTTAATGGATAGGCTAATATTTATATGAGTGTTGGACTCCCTAATAATAATGACAATAAATAATAATGCTAATTTTAAATGCCCAGCGAAGCGGACGGGTACAGCTAGTTTATATATATAAAATCGAAAAACTATTATATTTCACAATTTCAAAGCGTGTAAACATGTATTAATATGTACAAACGCAATGTTGCTCGGCAGGGATTTGAAGAGGTACCGCGCCCTGCTGCGCGACGCACAGACCATGCTCGAGCAGAAGGAGAAAGAGGGCGGCGCTAAAACGCAGATCAGACAACTGAAGAACCAGGTGAGTGAACTCATAACGGAATTTTCATTTAATTTTATATTTATTTGTTTGTTTTTTAATGGTATACAGGGTGTCCCACAAAGCAAAGTGTATCAAGCCGAAACGTGGCTATAGTAACAGCGGTAACGTAAAAAAATCGTAGTCGTAAATAATAGTTACCTATTATTTTTTTTGTTTTTTTTTTATTGCCCTTGTAAGCACCTGATGGTGAATGACTGCCCTCGCTCATAGACGGCAGCAATGCCAGGGGCTGAGCCAAGCCACTGCCTACAGTTAACAGTACAACAGTTAAAAATAATAAATTTATTTGTTTCAACTGTTTGATGACAGCCCTGAATTTTTACCACAAAAGTACCGCTATGCCGTTCATTCGGTTAAACGCGTCAGAACGAGATGGACAATAACAAATTCATTCAACCAATATTAATCGATTAATGCGACAATGCTACCACATTAGTAGCTGCTTAAAGTCCACAAACTTCTGCAAATTTAAACGCTATTAAAAACAGCCCTACGACGAATGTTACTAAAGAAGCTGTTTGATATGCCAACACATGCGGAGCGGACTAACGTTTATTTTAATATATTTATTTTTAATATATTATATTTTTAAGGAAAATAAATTCTGTCTTAGTCCTTTTTTATCACAAGTAATCTCATGGAAGTTGGTTTTCACGCCCGTATTATACCCGTTTTTCTATTTTAATAAAACTGAATGTTTATATGTCCCAGTTTTGTGAATCAAAAAAAATCTTAACATCAACTTTATCATCAACTTTTCAATACTTGCATCTTTGAGGCGCTGTGTGAAAGCGATTCGAAATAAAACTCGCTCACCGTCCTTAATTTAGGGTTGAAAATCGCGCATCATACTTAATGGTACTTATGGTCGCATTCATTTTAATTAAGTAAAATAATAGTTGCATGTCCACTAACGATTCTCGCATTGTGTACTTCTCTATGCCCCTGGGTTCGTTTAACTCGCCAAGTCTTGATCAAAGATAATTCTACTTAATATCGTGTCGTTCGTCGTAATAAGCAAAGCAAATATTTGGATCCTCATTAATCACATGTATTTTTTTCAAATAATTAAATACGTTTTGCATGTCCACTAACGATTTTCGCATTGTGTACTTACCTATGCCCCTGAGTTCGTTTAACTCGTCTAAGTCTTGATCAAATATCCTCCTCCTCGCGTCGTTTTCCTCATTACTGAGGGTCGTGACTCGCCCGCTGCATCAGCTTCTCCCGTACGATTTCCCTCCACCTGCTGCGATCCTTAGCTTCATGAAGGACATTGTGGAAGTTGATATTCAGAGCAGATCGTATTTAGTCCGACCATTGATCAAATATAATTAATTGAATATGCAATTTCCAAAAGGGCACATCTCTGAAAATGTACATAATATTAGAATGTGTGTTTGTAGTATTGAATAACCGCTTTTTACTAAATGCATATGAATATATATACGGTACATACACCAAAATAACATTTTTTACAATTTTTGTCTGTCTGTCTGCCTGTCTGTTTGTTCCGGCTAATCTATGAAACGGCAGGACCGATTTCGATGAGACTTTCACTAATAGGTAGCTGATGATATAAGGAATAATAATAAATAATAATAGGCTACTTTTTTTAGACTAGCTTCGCCCCGCGGCGTCACCCGCAGTTATTGTCGTACCGCGCGCAACATGGCGGGCTTCGCCTATCAATAATAAAATTTAATGTTTCCGAAGCGAAACGACGGCGGGTCGCTAGTTGTACATAATATCGTGTCGTTCGTTGATGCAGGTCGAGGATCTAGAGCTGGCGGTCCGCGCTGCGATGAAGGCTCGTCAGTCGGCGGAGGCGGAAGCGGCGGAGGCCACCGCGGCGCTGGAGGAGGCCACGCGCGCCCGCACCGACGCCGCGGACCGCGCGCTCGCCGCCGCACGGGACGCCGCCGCCGCGCGCGCACAGCTCGAGGACGCGGAGGAAGAGGCCGCCGAGGTAACAACAAACGTAGCTTCGTCTAGATTAGTCGTAAGGCATAGGGCACCATTATTTCGCGTATTGCAGGTTCCAATGGTAGACCACTGGTCAAAGCAACCAAGACCACCAGTACAATGCGATATTTGAAGTCCGATAACTGCTTATATTCTCAGTTAATCTATACCAATATTATTATTGTGAATCTAGCAGGAAAATAATTTATATTATATATTGGATACTTTTATTATGTAGTGACTTGGTTGGTAGGACGTCTTTTGAATACGCACGAGTAGGTACCACCAATCTACTTCTCCCAAGCCTCGCCACAAAGATCTGTCCTGCGCTACCTGCAACCAGCGGATCCCTGCGACTCTCAATATGTCGTCGGTCCATCTAAGCAATAAAAAATAAAACGGTGCGCGTGTAACTATGTGCACGTAAATGAAATGAAACTTCTTTTTCGATGTTTAGTACTGTGTGTGGTTTTCTTACTTTTCATCCTTAAATCAAATTGCTCTTGTTATATCGAATGTGTATAAGAGATACGAAATCTTCAACATTTATATTATATAATTTTTTAATTGTAGATAGAAATATAAATATATAATTAATTATATTTTTTTAATACTTCATCAAAATATTGGAGGCTACTCGTTGCCAGCGCTCGCGCTGGCCTGTAACAAGTATACTACGCATATGCGTTCGAGTGCCACGCATTCTCTCGCTCTGTCTCTTTTTATTATGGTTGCGTTAAACGTTTAACGCAACCATACTAGGATACCGTTGTTGGAAGCCGCATTAGAAAATTCACTTCAATAATAAAATCCACTCGTATTGATCGGTCCGCGTCGGTGTCGTTGCAGCTGCTGAAGAAGTACCGCTCGAGCACGACCGCGCTGTGCTCGGCGCAGGGGGCGGCGCGCGAGGCGGAGGCGCGCGCGGCGGCGGCGGGCGAGGAGGCGCGGGCGGCGCGCGAGCAGCTGGCCGAGCTGTCGGCGCGGCTGGCGCAAGCCGAGGCCGGCCACGCGAACTCGCACCACGAGGCCGAGCGGCGCCTGCATCTCCGGAACAAGGTCAACTATCATACGCACTTATTTCTTCAGTATGCTTAGTGCGAGTTTTTTAACGTTTTCGATAGCGTAAAAGTGAGATCATTTTTTTTTTGTTGATTCGCAAAACAAATTACAACCATGTAAATTATAAGTTTAAATGTTTACATAACAATCTGGTTAACATAACAATCTGGATTGCAATTCAAAACAGGTGCATACAGAAAAAAATTAACAACTGAACAGATGCCCAAATACCATGTATACATACACACATACGCTCACACACAACCGCACGCCCACACACTCACACACATATGTAACTTACTATCTGACTAAATTAAATCTAATGTTTCATTAACTGGACAATATTAATTATTTGAGAATATGTTTAAATAATTTACAATATTTATAAAATTTATTCTCAAATATATCAAGATTAGTGTTGCTACTTGCCAACTCATTATAATGTATGAAAGGGGATCGTTTTCCTACGTTTGCCGCTAGAGGCTCTGTTCCAACTGCATACAAAATTGGGCTAACTTTTACGCTATCGAGAACGTTATAAAACTCGCACTAAGCACACTGAAGTGAAGCAGTAATGCTTTTCGTTTTGAATGGTCAAGCAGTACATTGAACTATAAAACTGACAAATAAAGATGAGGCGTATTTACGCTACCAGGTTTTCACTTCGAAATACGGCGCCCTAGCACGAGCAAAAAATACTCGCAAGTATGAAAGTATATCGACGCTTGAAAGGCAAACGTGACTAAGCGACAATAACTAATTTGTACATAAATGATAGACAATAACCATATTCGATGCGCAAAAAATATATATTTCTAGGTCTATTCAAATCATTTCAATCCTACAGCTACTAGCTAGATTCTGCTACAGCTGGATTCGTTAAAATAAATTTTGTTTTCAGGTATTTCAACTTTAAATTAGTCTACTGTAAAGTTCACGCATTGTCGCTTAGTCACGTTTGCCTTTCAAGCGTCGATATGTACTGAACCCGGATGCTCAAAAAAGTTGAACGCTCACATGAAAATACAAGGATTTATATCTTATCTATATATATAAAAATGAATTGCTGTTCGTTAGTCTCGCTAAAACTCGAGAACGGCTGGAACGATTTTGCTAATTTTGATCTTGAATTATTTGTGGAAGTCCAGAGAAGGTTTAAAAGGTAGATAAATATGTAAATGCTCGGAATTAAATAAAAATAACAATTTTGTTTTTCCTTTGATGTGTCCCCCATCAGACGGATTCCTTTTTTTTGTTTTAAGTTTTATACAAAAGTTTAGGTCTTTTATTTTTCGATTGAGGCACTAAGAAGTCTGCCGGGTCAGCTAATTCGTAATAAATATTTCGTAACGTAATTAGAAAATTAATATTGACATGAAGACATGTTCGATTTTAATATTGTTCTTTAATTCTCAGGAGTTAGAATCGAGTTTGGAGTTGGAAGCGACGGCCCGCTCCCGACTGGAGGGGCAGCTGGCGCGGCTGCGAGAGGCGCACGAGCAGCTCACGGGCGAGCTGGCGGCCGCCAAGCAACGGGAGCAACAGACCGTCGATGAAGTGCGCAAGATCACTAGACAACTGCGGTGAGGACCAAGGACACATTCGAGATTGTAGTACAAAAAAAACGTGTGGCACTCGGGAACTGCCGCGGTAAAGCTATTGCATAGCATTTTTTATCAACTTATGCAATTATAATTAGACAATGATAATTTAATATTAAAACAATAATAAAACAAGACCACGCTATATTAAACATTCATAAAAGCAAAACCTTAACTGTCCCCTTCACACTCATAAGCTAGACCGCGCGAGAGAGAGATGGGCAGACTTTTCATGATGCGCATGCAGTGTGACGTCACGCCACGGGTTTATTCACAAACACTACACAAGCGCAACGTGTGAATGTGTTGAACGCGAGCTACATGGTAGGCGGAGTGAAGGGTGTCAGGTTTTTTTCGTTACGGAATTTCATGATTCGGTCGCCGCGCTCAAGGCCCGCGATAAAAGCTATGCAATAGCTTAATAAATAAATAAATATTTATATCAGGGACTTGAAAGAAGAGAACCTGTCGTTGAACGCGAAGCTGAGCGAGGCAGCTCGCGCGCGCGTGTGCGCGGAGGCGGGCGCGGCGGCGGCGGCTGCGGAGGCGGCGGCGGCGCGGGAGGACGCCCGGCTCGCTGCACGCCGCGCCGCCGCACTGCAGGAGGCCATCGCCGGCGACCTCTCCAGCCCCGCCGACTCTAAGGACTCCGACAGGTAACTATCGTCCTCTCACAATTACTTTTTTATTTATTTTTTATTGCTTAGATGGGTGGACGAGCTCACAGCCCACCTGGTGTTAAGTGGTTACTGGAGCCCATAGACATCCACAATGTAAACGCGCCACCTACCTTGAGATATAAGCTCTAAGGTGTCAAGTATAGTTACAACGGCTGCCTCACCCTTCAAACCGAAAAGCATTACTGCTTCACGGCAGAAAATAGGCAGGGTGGTGGTACCTACCCGAGTACTCCGAAGCTTAAACCGGTTGATGAGATTTCTTGCTCCCAACTCCACTTCCTGATTTAACTAAAGAAAATGTTTTTAAGAAAGAAAAAAGTAGGAATCATTTATCATAATCACGTATCTAATAAATGTTCGTTTTGTTACAGCGAGAACGACAGCTACAGTTCTGACGAATCGATCGGCACGTTCTTGGCCAATCATAAACTGAGTCCGTCAGCGCCGTCGCGCAACAGCATACAGCTCGAGTCGCAAAGGTCAGTTAGTATTACGTGAAAATTTCATGGCTTTATGTTAACAGCCTTAAAATTAGATACCCTTTGCGCTAAACTGTTACCAATATGAAGCTCGTTGACAACACCGAATTCTTAATGATGGCAACAATGGTACAAGGATTTGAAATGATTATAAAATGATCCGTTATGTCTAACGTGATCATACGTCCCGCTGTCCCCAACGAGAACAAAAATGTCCCGCTTTCATTTATCTGTTGTGTATGTGTTTATTAGAAACTTATCGAATACTTACTTACTACTATCTTACTCCGACGTACCCTATATATGTATTTATTTATTATATATACGAAATTCCGCAGGCGTCCCGCTTTGACACGAAAAAAAATGGTCACGTTAGTTATGACCCAATACGACAAAATTAAATTATGTGTTTTTTTTTTTTTTTTTCATCTAGATCACAGACATCGGAAGGTCGTCAGAGTCGATCCAGCGTCGGCTCTGGTTCGAAGCCGCTCAGTCCGACGAAGGAATCATTCGCATAACAGCCAGCCGCCGCCGCCGGCCTGCTCACGAGCGCACTGCCCGTCATCTGCGCCGTGTTCTGTTCGCGGCAGCGGCACGACTCCGCACACGCCATCGTCGAATAAAAAAAAACGTCACGTTGACAGCTCCTGTCAAGCGGACGACAGAGCACAGCTAACACAAACTTTACAGTGTTGTGACTAGTACACCAAACACAAACCTTGTACCTGTACGTGAAAATATTACTCTGCTTTGATTTATATAAATGTATTCATAAGATTACTCCGAACGATCTATCGAAAGAATTAATATATCGATGCAATATTTGACTGGTTTACAAGTTACTCTTATACAAAATAAATGGAATTAATATAACGACAATAGATCCTTAAAACTAGACTGCATAGTATACAAAAAAAAACAACAATTTACCCCAATTTTATTGAATATACTATTGCTTTTTGATAAATTTAGTGTTTGAAAGCTTTTGATATTGATATTGAGAATATTCGATTTTAATCAGATGGCGCTAGTGTCGATCAAATCTCGATCATCACATAACAGAATGCATTCCAAAATGTTTTTAACGTACATAAATATATTGACTTAAAAGTTTTGATGTTTGAAGAACACTAGCGCCATTGATACTAAGTATGAGTTTTTAATTTATTTAGAGTAGATTTTCTTAGGAGTCATGTGTATTAGGAATTGCGCGGCCCTTATGCCAGCCAGTCAGTATTTAGACGGCCTAGTGCCAATAACACTCGGTTCGCATGTACGACTTTTAACTTTCAAACACAGAATGTACTGTGATAGAATATAAAACACATCACATAAAAAATAACGTAGAACATCTGATTAAGAAATGTTGCCAGAGCAATGCGTGCGAACCGAGTTTATAACTTACAAAATAATATTTAAGTTCTTTGTTATTTAGTTAGCTAACTTTTGTAAATAACTAGATGACTTATACAATTTTTTATTATTTAATTTGTAATATTCGTGTGATCAGACTGTTATTATATGGTTTATTTGTTATAGTTGTTGCTTTATCTCGTAGACATGGAACATATCTGTTAGGAACCCATTTATTAGATAATTCTTTTAATTCTATTTCCTTAACAATTATTCTAAATCTAGGTGTCATTGAACAAAAATGAGCAAATGTATTTGAATAAATGACTGATTTACATGCGAACAAAAAGATCAAAAATTTAAATTCTGTGCAATAACGCCTAGATATTTTCATGTACCCCTATATTATGTAGTGAATTTTAAATGCATATTTAATTGTGTATACTTATTCATATTAATCCACTATGTGTCTGTAACTGCAATTTTAATGTATGAAAGTGTGATGATATGTTACACGCTTTCGTCGTTGGTTGTAAAATGAAAATTATTTAATAAAGTAACTAAAATTGAAATTCGTTTGTCATTTCTTCCCACCTTTAACTGGCAATTAAATGCCAAGGTAATGTAAGTGTGCACATGGGCCGAGTATTCATTGAAGAAGTTGCATGGATTTCTTGGACAGCAAAAAAAAACAGTTGTAACATGGCTTTTGAAGACGAAGCACGATCATTGCTGCTTTTGCTCAGGTGCAGATGGCCGAAATAGAAACAACACATGTGGTGGACGCGATGTCAGGCAAATAGGATAACTGCGCTAGATCAGTTGACAGTTCGAGTAATCACGTGTGTGTCTGCCAATTGTTTTAACGTAAGTCACTATTTCACCATGCTACTGACCGCTACCGTGCGAGCACTTCAAAACTTCAAAACTGATATTGCCTCTACTATTCCAATAAGAAGGTAGTAAATAGTTCACATTGTAGTACGTTAATCCAGTTCCACTCTCTTTTTCATGTCCCCGAAAAAAGAAAAACAACAACACCGCTGCTGAGGTTATGGAACTGAACCTAACATTTTCTTCCTAGCTAGTCATTGGGGATATTCCAAATAGGAATTGACGGGTGGGAGAGCTCACAGGGTGAGCCCTGAGAGAAGTTGCTAACACTAGTCCTAGCGAGAACAGCGTTTCGCTTAATTTATCACCGGATAACTCCGCTGAAGCCCTTTTTCTGATATGATCAGGAAATTTAGTATAGGCTATTTTATCATTTACCCGCATAAATGTTAACTTTTCCCTAAGGGCTATTCCAGCTACGCGTTGGAATAGCTTTATATATAGGTACCTATTAATATGGGCAGTAATTTTTTGCCATAAAAGAAGTTTCACAGTGTGAAGTAATAGTTAGACTCCTCTTCCAATCCAAGAACTAATTTTCATGTAGTTTTTTTGGCAGTACTGTAGATTTTCTTTGCTTTTGACCCAAGATTCTGACGTTTCAGCTTTTTGAAGTAGGTAGATCTTTTTGAAATAGAAATATGGCAACACAAACTACGCCCCTGCTCTACTGACTGTGTCGTGTCAAAAATATTATTATATTTTTAAGTTTTTAAACACTAATTAAATAACTCTTTCAATTTCTGATTGATAAAAAAGTAATTATTATATAAATAGCATTTTAAACTATCCTAGACAAGCTAACATTTCTGTTAAATTTGTAACTTAGCGGTGGGTAGTGCATCTGTCAAATAGAGAAATATTGATTTTGTAATTTCAGGAAAGGTCCAATATATTAGAGAACAAACATTTGAAACTATATCAAGATGACTGATTCCAAGTACTTCACCACTACGAAGAAAGGAGAGATATTCGAGTTGAAATCGGAACTAAACTCTGACAAAAAAGAGAAAAAGAAGGAGGCCGTTAAAAAGGTAAGTTTTTATTGAGAACAAAGTTATGAATTTTGTCTTTTAAGCTTATTCGTGAAACCATCAATATTGTTTTTAAAAAAATATGCGTTGCATAACTTCCGATTTGTTATTTACCTGCTTTTATATTGCAAGTGACTCATAGTATAATACCTGAAAAAAGTTCAAAATTACTTTCTAGGAAAATAGCCCTAAATAAGATGCTCATTGAAACATCAAATATTTGAAATTGGATAAAGATAATTAATTTAAACAAAAGCAACTACAAGCTTTCTAAAGATTTGTTTAATTTTTATGAATACATTATTTACACTTATTGAAGTTTATTTAAATATTGTTGAAACTTGATTTACAAAATATAGTTAATAAAAATAAATTTGTACTTTGCATTATATATATTTTTTTACAAAACAAGAGCTTAAACATGGCTATGTGAATGAGATTGAATTCTCAACTGTGGTGTGTACTTACATAAATTATGATATGATGGTATAATATGTAATGATCATAATTTTTGACATCATCCACACAATCTTGTGATCAGATGTAAGAAATACTTTGGTTGAACATTGATTTTGACTAATAATTACTATTATACACACACAATACACATAATAACTTCTATTAGTACTAACAATATAACGGTTATTGAATGTTGAAACGCAGAAAACACCCTAAAAAATAAAATCAGCAAGAAATATAATTACGGGTGGTAGGAATTCTAATAACCTTGCATGGGTACATACTACCACCCTGCTTATTTCTGCTGTGAAGCAGTAATACATTCTGACCCAAAGTACCCTTGACTTGACAGTTTTTAAAATAATACAGTTGTAAGTCTCAACTCATCATTTCTCTGTGATCACATGCTTTAAAATAGGCAGCACAGTTTGCATGTCTATGCAATAAAAAAATGTATGCTATGATGCATGATGTAATTAGCAATAATATTTTTTTAAATAATAATAATAAGTTTCAAATAAATGTAATTTCTCAATAGGTTATAGCATCCATGACAGTTGGAAAAGATGTCTCAGCGTTGTTCCCCGATGTCGTGAATTGCATGCAGACAGATAACTTAGAACTGAAAAAACTGGTGTACTTATACTTAATGAATTATGCAAAGTCACAGCCAGACATGGCTATCATGGCGGTCAATACTTTTGTCAAGGTACGTTTTGTAGCATCTTGTGCAATAACACTTAAATGAAGCTTTGAAGCTTTCACTCACTTGTTTTATGACATATATAGTTTTCTTCAAATCTAGTTTTATTAAAAGGCCTTGTCAAAATTAAAGAAATGAGTTAAAATACTGATCTTCGTTGAAATCAATATGTTAAATTATTATTTATATGAAAAGAACCCTTACTATGTAATTATTTATCTGAGTAGAGATACAGATATATTAATTATCAATTAATAAATTAATTTAAATTGCGTAACAGTATGTGTTACTTAGTATATGCAACTTAACTAAGTATATTTCTCAAAATATAAATGTAAAATCTTAAAAGCTTATCATAAAGTAATTATTTGATATAAAGAATACAATACAACTAGAAGATACACAAGTCCTTTTTTATGTTATGTTAACTTAGGAAGGTTAGTTAAATTTTTTGTGAGTTCTTGAGTGTGACACATGTTTTTTGTCGTTTTAATGTCTTCTATACCGTATAACAATGGGTGGAAGGATCTACCAACATACCAGCTTGTTAAGGTAATAAGATCCTCAGAAATCAATTCGCTCACTCATACTATGTAGATTCACACATTGATGCAAAAATGCAAATTCTAATAATGTGCCTTAATGTTACATTGAGTAGTAAATAAATGGAAAAATGAGAAGAAAGGAATCCTTAATATTTGTGACTCATATAAAACTTTATAGAACATAGAACCTTATTAAATTAAAGTCAAAGTATACAGTATAAATTATTTTAACATTAGTTTGTGAATAAAAAAAAAATTATGATAATTTAGGGAAGAGGTGTTTTTAAATGTGTTAATCTACAATTTTAAGATCAGAGGCTGGTTGCTACAAAGAATAACATTTATATTATGTAATATTGTTACGGCAACCATAACCAATCGAAATAGGCTTCATTGCAAAGTATAGTAAAAAAGGCATTTATAGTATTTAGATAAATTATATTAAATGAGTAAATGCTTATAGAATATGCTTTTACAGTATTGACGCAATCAATCTTTTCATATTAAAAGTTAAATTGTTGAAATACTTTAGGACTGTGAGGATTCAAATCCATTGATTCGGGCTTTGGCTGTACGGACTATGGGATGCATTCGAGTGGACAAGATTACAGAATATCTATGCGAGCCATTAAGAAAGTGCCTGAAAGATGAAGATCCTTATGTCCGGAAGACTGCAGCCGTGTGCGTCGCAAAGCTATATGATATCTCTTCAAGCATGGTTGAAGATCAGGTCAGAGGCCCTTATCTTTATATGTAACTTTGCTTATGCTTAATTTTATTATAATGAGTGTACAGCTAAACATTTTCCCTTGAATGTCAAGCTTACTCAACTATTTACAAGATGTTGTAATAACCTTTTATTATAGGGCTTCTTAGATCAACTAAAAGATCTGTTGAGCGATTCGAATCCTATGGTAGTAGCAAACGCTGTGGCAGCCTTATCAGAAATCAACGAAGCTAGCGTTTCTGGACGGCCCCTTGTTGGTAAGTTTTTATGTAAATAGAAAATAATTCGTTTTGTAAGAATTGAGTTACTGAATATATAATGTACTTATCTTTTAACAGATATGCCTGTGATCTGATCTGTTAAACTAATTTTGTTAGTTTCCAATTTTAAAATTATATTTTAGTCCTTAATGAAGTAAAGCATGATAGGAACTGTAGCCTTGCCACATCAATTTGTATGCGTTTATAGCGTGAGCTATTCTCCATTATGTACGATATTGATTTATATATTTTCTAGGAAATATTAGTATTGAAATAAAACAATGTTTGCTTTCAGAAATGAATGCCCCAACGATCAACAAGCTGTTGACTGCGTTGAACGAATGTACTGAATGGGGTCAGGTGTTCATCCTGGATGCGTTGTCCAACTACTCGCCGCGTGACGCCCGCGAGGCGCACTCCATCTGCGAGAGGATCACGCCCCGCCTGGCGCACGCCAACGCCGCCGTCGTGCTCTCCGCTGTCAAGGTGAGACGAGCTCGCACGGATCCCACCTGTAGGGTGAAGTCTCTGTGTAGCTGTTTTTTTTTTATTGCTTAGATGGATAGACGAGCTCGCAGCCCACCTGGTTAAATGGTTACTGGAGCCCATAGACATCTACAACCTAAATGCGCCACCCACCTTGAGATATGTTCTAAGGTCTCAGTATAGTTACAACGGCTGCCCCGCCCTTCAAACCGAAACGCATTACTGCTTCACGGCAGAAATAGGCAGGGTGGTGGTATCTATCCGCGCGGACTCACAAGAGGTCCTACCACCAGTAATCACGTATAGAGCGTTGCAAGGACTCAATTCTCACAAACACCTTTTTTAACGAAATACGTAACTAACATGTGTTTGAATACTCCCGCGATCAAGGAAATAATATTGACTGGTGAAAGCCTGTTTGGTTTAAGCGACATATTTTGTAACTGTAGGAGAGCCATTTAAAGTATAAAATTTGGAACAAAAAATCATAATAAAAATCTTCTTCAGCTATTTGAATCAAGTAAACTTAATTGAAGTTCAATTAAAAACATCGAATTGTTGATGCTAATACCAAATAGTCTTTCACCTGTCGATATAGAAATTACCAATAATAACTTTTGTTCATAACATTTATTAAGTAATTAATAAATTTTACATAACTTATAAACAAGATACAGTGATTGGCTATACAATATAACTCGTTTCTAATATTATTTTATTTAATTAATATTTTGCGATGTAATTCAGTCAAATTAAAAGTTCTAATTTTATTTTAGTTTATAGTTGACACCGAAGTTGAAGTTCCGTAACGTTATGTTGATGTTGTGTTGTTGTTGTTGACGCCAGGTGCTGATGAAGCTGATGGAGATGGTGTCCGCGGACACGGAGCTGGTGAGCACGCTGTCCCGCAAGCTGGCGCCGCCGCTGGTGACGCTGCTGAGCGCGGAGCCCGAGGTGCAGTACGTGGCGCTGCGGAACATCAACCTCGTCGTGCAGAAGCGACCAGACATACTCAAACACGAGATGAAGGTATCAATCAGCTCGAAGGCATTGTGTGCATGAAATATTGTTGTTGGGGTTCAAGAGGAAGTTTGTAGAGTTCCAAAGACTTAGTATGTTATTTGAGCACCTTTATTATATTGGTTAAGCACAGATGGTAACGTCTTAACAAATGCTTGTTGCTAAGTGCACTGCGCCAAGAGTATAATAAAATAACCTGACACCTCAATGACGACGCACGGCGTGTCCTCCTATTGGTTAGGTATGTGCAAACCGTACATCTTGGCAACCCAAAAGAGCAAGAAACAATCGATTAACAATAAATGAAATAGTTCGTAAGCTTAAGTAAAAATGTAAAAAATATCTATATATTAATATGTGAAGCAAAGACTTTGTATCCCTTTTTACGAAAATTGCGCAGACGGAGGAGTATGAAATTTTCCACACTTATAGAGAATATAGAGAAGAAGTGCGTGCACAATGCTAATATTTTTTTAAAATAATGCATAAAAGATACATTAAATCAATAAAGAAAACATTACACACGCTACATACCATGTATTTGACGCACACACGCATGCATACTATTTATTGTCAAACTTTTGTTCTTGACGTCTGTGGTCAAATTGAGAATAGATTAAATATTGTTTGTCTTTATTAATATTTTTTTATAGTGTAACCTTGGCGAAATTTGTGATTATAGAAGTATAAAATACAATCATAATAGTGCACAAACTTGCAATTCAAATTAATTATAGTCGGATTTCGACTACTGCGGGACCTCTAGCAAAAGTTAAAAATGTAAAGGTAAAAGTAAAAATATGTATAAAATGACATTTCACAACAACAAAATTACTTAAAATGTAACTTAATCAAAACTAAAGGCAAAGTTGGTTCCACTGGTGTTTACGCTTCGGGCTGGCTTTGGTGGTGGCGCGACTTGGTTTTTGATAAGCCATAGACTAAATTGACAGCATCGTCTGCGTCCACGATCAATGTCAGATGCTAATTAAAAAAAAAAAAACATTATTTTTAGTTCTAAATATTAGAACAATGAGCCATGAATAAAAATAATTAATAATATTTGCTAAATTGTAATATGGCAAAAAAAAATTTTTTTTTTTTCGATTGTTGATAAACCAATGCTTTATTAGCAAATCTAAGTTTTGTACTTTAAAAATAGATTTAAGACTTTTAAAATACAATGCTTTCGTTAATTTAAAAATGTCCTATATGCCTTAAGATATTAAATATGTATGACTGAATTGCAATTAGTATTGCAGACATTTATTATTTTTTGTAAATTACTATTAGTTTCAACTGAGTTTTATCTACATTTATCTGTGTGTTGGAATCATTTAACATAATTTTTAACAATTTCATGGCATTCGATTCACTTTAATATTTTCATTCGACCTTTTAGCTCTCGAAATACAAAATTATGTAACTGATGTACAAATTCGATTTGGTGTTATAGGTGTTCTTTGTGAAGTACAATGACCCGATCTACGTGAAACTGGAGAAACTGGACATAATGATCCGACTAGCTTCCCAAGCCAACATAGCCCAGGTGCTCGGGGAACTGAAGGAGTATGCCACCGAAGTCGACGTGGACTTCGTCCGGAAGGCCGTCAGGGCTATAGGCAGATGCGCTATCAAGGTATGTTGGTGCTGTGTGCCACGAGAGGAATGTAGTGGGGACAGTCCTCTACTGCGTGGTGTCGGTGAATGGAACCACTATGAAATAAAAACTAAGCGTATTTAATTTAGGGCCCTTACTGGTGGTGGGATCAGGTTAGTCAGCTTCTGTTCTACCATCTTGCCTGTTTTCACAGTAAAGCAGTCATGCGCATAGGTCTGAATATAATAAATACAATCGAAACAACCACTTCACATCAGCTGGTCTCGGCATGTTCTCATTGTTGATTAGGGTGGAGTATGTAAAGATCGATTTTAGACTGGTGGTAGTACCTCTCGTGAACCGCCCGGGTAGGTACCACCACCCCGCCTGTTTCCACCGTGAAGCACTAATGCGTTTCGGTTTGAAGGGTGGGGCAGTCATTGTGACTATACTGAGATCTTAGAAATCATATCTCGATGTTGTTGGCGGCATTTCATTTATAGATGGGCTCCGGTAACCATTTTACACCAGGTGGGCTGTGAGCTCGTCCATTTAGCTATGCAATAAAAAAGATAAAAAGAAACACACAAACACAAAACTTGCATTTTACAACATTAGTGGTTGAATAATAGATTTAATTTCACATCAGGAATCATTTTTGTCCACCTGAGTATATTATATAGTATATAAATGAATATCTCGCAGGTAGAGCCGTCGGCGGAGCGTTGCGTCTCAACATTACTAGAGCTGATCCAGACCAAAGTGAACTACGTCGTGCAAGAGGCTATTGTGGTGATCAAAGACATATTCAGAAAGTACCCGAACAAGTATGAGAGCATCATCAGTACGCTGTGTGAAAATCTTGACACTTTAGACGAGCCTGAGGCTAGGGCTTCCATGGTTAGTACCCCCATCATTTTTAAGGTTATGCTGACAAATGATTGCTGACTTTAAACATAAATAAAATACTGTCCTGAACATGTCCAAAAGTTCTGAAATTCTGTTCAGTTTCAGAAAACAGTTCTAAAATTTCTTCAGTTTATATCACTGTCACTGTAATGACAGCCTCATGATACAATGACCGGCAGCATATCAGCGCAAATCGGGTGCACTATGATAGTTTAGTTCGAATTTTTCAAAATTGTTAACATAATTATGAGAACACGTAAAGTAACAAAATGAATTGAGAGTTATAATTTAATTAATAAAACAAAAATATAGTTGAGGTATTAAAGAATATATAAATAAACAAATATCAATATTTACTAACGATCACGCCACGTTAACTGGTCCCGTGCTAAGTTCGTAAAGAACTTGTGTTACAGGTACCAGATAACGAAAATAAATGTAAGATTTTTATTATACACATAGATATATTTAATATACATCCATAACCCTACAAATACCTTCCCTTGGCGGGATTCGAACCCACGACCCCCTCGTGTAGTGACCACGTCACCACTACACCAGACGGCCGTTTAGTTTATTCAGTTATTATTATTATTTCGTTAATTTATTCAGGTATGGATTGTGGGCGAATACGCGGAACGTATCGACAATGCAGACGAACTTCTAGATTCGTTCCTCGAAGGGTTCCACGATGAAAACGCACAGGTAATATCTCAAGATTATTTTTTTATTACTTTGACACGAGATGAAACTTTGAATAAAACTCAATAATACGTATAAAATATAATACATGATATAATTGTACCTATCTATATATATAAAGGCTGTTCGTTAGTCTCGCTAAAACTCGGGAACGGCTGGACCGATTTGGTTAATTGTGGTCTTGAATTATTTGTGGAAGTCCAGAGAAAGTTTAAAAGATAGATAAATATGAAAATATTCGGAATTATATAAAAATATCAATTTTGTTTTTTCGTTTGATGTGTCCCCCGTCCGAAGGAATCCCCCTTTTGTTTGTTTTAAGTTTATTTTATACAAAAGTTTAGGTCTTTTATTTATCGATTGAGGCACTACGAAGTGTTCCGGGTCAGCTAGTAAAATTATACAAACCCTCATCCTCCCATCATCCTGGATAAAGCTGAAACTAATTATCGTTATATTTGTGACAGGTACAACTGCAACTCCTCACGGCCGTTGTGAAACTGTTCCTGAAACGTCCAGCCGACACGCAAGAGCTAGTGCAGCACGTGCTTAGTCTGGCAACACAGGATTCGGACAATCCCGACTTGAGGTATGAGACTGGCAACACTTTGTTATATATTCAGAATCTTTAGTGTAATAGTAAATATGTATATACTCATACTAACATATGCTTTATAAAAATATATATATGCTTTATATGTGCTTTGTTATATATGCTTTATAAAAATAATCACGTAATAAAAGTAACTAAGTTCATATATAAATACTCAATTACAAAGAGTAAAAAATCTAAATTCAGCAAAATGAAGATAAATCTGTTTTATTTTTTCATAAGTGACTTGTTATTCATTTGAAAATTTTATTAAAAGCTTATTAAAATGGTAAAGCAGGAATTAGAGCCACTAAAAGCAAAAATCCTCATTTCAGTTAATTAACATAACATATTTTTTTATCATAATTGAATAATAATTTCCAAATCTGTTTATAAATGATGGGGTTCTGCAACAACAAAAATACCAAAATTTCAACTGAATTGATAAAATACTTTTTTGATATTAGTCAAAATGAAAGTTGAATGTGTGTATATGTTTACAAAGTATTTTTATGAGAGCTAATCCATTTTTTATGTTTTTTTTTTATTGTTTAGATGTGTGGACGAGCTCACCGCCCACCTGGTGTTACGTGGTTATCGGAGCCCATAGACATCTACAACCTAAATGCGCCACCCACCTTGACATATAAGTTCTAAGGTCTCTGTTTTTACAGTACAACGGCTACCCAACCCTTTAAACCGAAACGCATTACTGCTTCACGGCAGAAATAGGTAGGGCGGTAGTACCCACCCTATATTTATATTACACGGGGCCTTTATCAGTCGTCGTATTTAAAAATACTGAGAAGTACTTTTCTGCATCAGAGACCGCGGCTTCATCTACTGGCGTCTACTGTCGACGGACCCGGCCGCGGCCAAGGAAGTGGTCCTGGCAGACAAGCCTCTCATATCGGAGGAGACTGATCTTCTGGAACCCACGCTGCTGGACGAACTCATCTGCCACATCAGCTCGCTGGCTTCAGTCTATCACAAGCCACCGACGGCATTCGTTGAAGGTAATTAAAAAGGGGTGTGGCTGTGTTATGGACACGGCCGTTTGTTGTACGTGAATACGTCTCGTAACGGGTAATAGTTTCTATTTAAAATATTATTATTTATGTATGTCATAATCATAAGAAATCCTGTCGTCCGCGTTCATTATTTTACGTTGCCGGCACTGCTTCACTCGATTATGTGGTGTTTTATTGGTACCATTCGATTGCTGTTGAGATGCTCTTTCCAACCGTATACGATGTGTTACAGTCCTTACTTACCGTAATAAATTCTTTGATTCTTTAGCTATCCAGTGGTGTAACTGAAATTTGGACGGAGATGATAGATATGTAGCTATAAAACTAAACTGTATCCCCCGATTTTGTTATCATTCGTTTTTTTTGGATTGCGTCCCTATGGAAGTAATTTTAAAGACGTATTCACGTCAAAAAAACATTTTCATTTTTTGAAAATATAATAAAAAAATTGAAATTGTTTTTGAGATGTGTAGTGTTGTATTTGATTTATTTAATGTCCTGGATTCTAGACTTTTAAGCCGGGGTAGATTAAAATTTTAATGTTCAGACACGTGGTGATAATTTGAAAAATGATTACTTATATAGTACTTGATAACAAGGTTTTGTTACTTTTTGTCGTATTTTAAGTGTGGAAATATATATATCATCCATAAATCATAAAATATATTGACAAAAGTAATTGAACAATTAGAAATATATATTTATCTTTGTTAAAAACCATATATATGCCTTCAGAAGAGAAGAATCGTCTCTTTCTCCTCTTTTATCATAAATGTTTAGTATACTGATCTGACTGTTAGTCAAATCGAAATCTCCTAGTACTTCTTGTTACTAAATATTTTTTTAACCTTAGCCATCAATACATCCCTTGTAAAATGGAACGTATTGTTGTTGTCCTGGCAAATATAGGCAGGGTGGTGGTACCTACCCTCGCAAACTCAATACAACCTACCACCAGTAAAGGCAGGTACTATAACAGGATTATTGTCAACAGGCCGCGGCGCCGGAGTCCGCAAGTCCCTGCCGTCCCGAGGTGTTGTCGCCGAGGAAACGAGCACACAACAACCCACAGTCATCCCGAATCAGGTACAGGGTATATTTTTTAATCAATTAAATATAAATTTTATTAACTAAACTCTATGGCAACCGCGTGGCAGCAGAAGACCTGTGTGCTTAGTGCGAGTTTTTTAACGCTCTCGATAGCGTAAAAGTTAGTTCATAGTTGTATTAAAATGGGACCGTTTGCGTACGTTTGCCACTAGGGGCGCTGTTCCAACTGCATACAAAATTGGGTTAACTTTTACGCTATCGAGAACGTTAAGAAACTCGCACATAGCACACTGGTCACCATGTACACTCGGTGGAGAGCGAGGTGAGGACTGTCGGCGTGACCTGGAGTGATGTCATCCTTCACATCACTCCAGGTTTTTTTTAGTGCTTAGATGGGTGGACGAGCTCACAGCCCACCTGGCGTTAAGTGCTTACTGGAGCCCATAGACATCCACAAGCGCCACCCACCTTGAGATATAAGTTCTAAGGTCTCAAGTATAGTTACAACGGCTGCCCCACCCTTTAAACCGAAACGCATTACTGCTTCACGGTAGAAATAGGCAGAGTGATAGTACCCACCCGCGCGGACTCGCAAGAGGTCCTACCACCAGTAAGAGTCCTGCAAGCGCAAGACAGGGTCAAGTGGAGACAACTTGTGAGGCCCCAATATACCAGCGGGATACCCTAAGACTACAGCAACAACAAATTTGATAAATGTTCGCCTAGATTTTTAATTGATAATATATTATGTTTTTAAGTCATAGAATCACTATTTTATAAAATATCTTAAACATTTAAATTCAGCATGACAGTATAAGCTCTATTTTTTAAGCAAAATCCTTGCAGGAGTCGTTGATCGGCGATCTATTGTCTATGGACATCGGAGGTCCCCCCCCGGCCCCGGCGCCCTCTTCCAACGTCGACCTCCTCGCCGGCGGACTTGATGTTCTCGTGAGTATTTCGTTAGCATGTACATATTTATTTATACGCAGCCCTTGTGTAGGGAGGTTGATGAACTAATGCTCAAACCAAGGAGGTCATCGGAATTAGAACCTGTTTAAGAAAATACTTATTTCTTTGTATATTATTTTTTTAACTGCTGTAACCAATTGAAAGAGTTGACGGCTCATCGGATATCAAGTATTTATCGACATCTGTGTGTTTAGTGCGAGTTTTTTTAACTTCTCAATCGCGTCAAAGTTAAGTTATCACGTTTGCCCCTGACGGCAAACGTCGGGAGGTTGTTCAACTCCATACAAATTTGAGGTACTAAACTACACTAGGAATTAAAATTTACGCGCCAAACGACTAGTGACTGTGGGGTGACGACCTTACTGTGCTGGTAACAACGCTCAGAGAACGTCGACTGTTTATGCCTCGATGCATTATGTTGTCTATGGAACTAAGGCTTTATGGGCGTAGATCCCCTTGCCTTTCCTAATAAGGAGAAACTTTACCAAAAAAAATGTCTATGGAACCCGTATGCTCTTGTACGCCGCCGCGCAGACGAGTTGAGAGATGTGAGTGTGTAGTTAGGCGGCGGGCCGGAGCCGGGCGCGTCCGCCGCGGCGGTCCCCGGCGGCGCCTCGGGCCTGCTCGGCGACATCTTCGCCGTCTCCGCCGCGCCCGCCTCCTACGTGCCGCCCAAACAGTGCTGGCTGCCCGCCGACAAAGGAAAAGGTACTTGGTGCACTCCCGCGTTTGATCAATGGATCAACACTACTCAAGTGCCGCCTGTCGTGCGTTGGTGGTACTGTTACAAAAAAAAAATAGTATTTTTATTATTATATGTAGCGTACTCAGAAAAAGTAAATTAATAATTATACAAAGTGATAATTACTAGAATGGCGAATGTAAGTATTAGTCAATTTGAATGGAAGATATAAAACAAAAAGAAATATTGTTGACCGTTTGTCAAAAAAGTGCATTATCTATTTGAGAAAATTATCAAATGTTATATTATCTATACTAATATTATAAAGAGGAAAGATTTGTTTGTTTGTTTGTTTTGAATAGGCTCCAAAACTACTGAACCGATTTGAAAAATTCTTTCACGGTTTGGAAGCTACACTATTCCCGAGTGACATAGGCTATCATTTTTGAAAAAAATTAGGGATCCTTACTAAAACTCCAATAATGTAACTCAAGGTGTAAAAAAATTATCTAAAATATGCTTTACATCGCGTGCGCTGCAAAATCTATTGATGATAGAATAAAATAATGTACTACGACTTTGTAGAAAACATTATTATTTACAAAAAGTGTCGCGAAAGCATATGTCTAACTATTATAATTATGCCGCAATGTGTGTTCTTTTATTTAAAAAAATAAATCAACGTCAAAATATATCGTTGAAATTTTTGTTAAAGACCCGAGCGGAGCCGGAGCGGGCCGCTAGTTATAAATAAAACTATTACCAAAATGTTATCATATATTTTTTAAGTTGATCTTAAAGCGCCTTTATTATGTATATAATGTATTATTTTATTCACATCAAAATAAAGTTTAGCCCAGTAAAACTATATAATACAAACTGAGTTGCTCTATAAAAAGAAACAACATTTAAAGCTATTGCTTCACCAGTTTTTATGGTTTTTATATTTCAATATTCAAAAATGTTTTAATATTTGTAATGTTCCTTCTTCTTATGTTTCAATATTCAAATTATCATTTATGTGACCTTTATAACGTATTAACCTCTTTTAAGATTTATGCCATGAATCATATAGAGGTTACATGTATGTAATACGGTCTAAATTGTAGGTTTGGAGATTTGGGGCACATTCAGCCGTCAGAACGGTCAGCCTCGGATGGAGATGACATTCACTAACAAGGCGATGCAGCCGATGACAGGTTTCGCCATACAACTCAATAAGAACAGGTAATATATTTTTTGTATTTTTTTCAATTGATAAACAATTAAAACATGCGATTTGAAAACAATTACGTTTTTAGTTTATAGACCAGCGTCGATAATTTTTAAAACAAAAAATAAAAAATAGTAGGATGAAACCCATTAGAAAAGGAGGGGAATATTATTATTATTATTATTTTTTATTTTATTGCTTAGGTGTGTGGACGAGCTCACAGCCCACCTGGTGTTAAGTGGTTACTGGAGCCCATAGACATCTACAACGTAAATGCGCCACACACCTTGAGATATAGTTCTAAGGTCTCAGTATAGTCACAACGGCTGCCCCGCCCTTCAAACCGAAACGCATTACTGCTTCTCGGCAGAAATAGGCATGGCGGTGGTACCTACCCGTGCGGACTCACAAGAGGTCCTACCACCAGTAAAAAATTTAAACCAAAGTTTAAATACAAAAGTGTTAGATCTTTTTATTACCCACAACTTTGCCATTTGACTTTTTTCCATAGGACTTTTAGTTTTGCCGGAAATCGAGAAAAACCGTTTTTTACCCTTAAACCGACCCCATCCCGTTCCCGACCTCAGATCGCCCGTAAATTATTTTTCCTTCCATTTTTTCACTTTTTATTATTTTTAAAGGCTTCTACCCTGGTCTATTAGCGTTTAATTTGTACGTTTTAGAATTTACGATGCTTAGTATACTATGCGTGATCACGAAAGTATTGTTGTGACCGCATCGAATTGTTTAGTGCCATCTTGCGTTAAATACTAGAAGCTAACAGCGCCATCTATTAATAAATAGCAAACTTACAAAATGAAATCTTTAAGGTTTATCGATTATTTATTGTACATAAATAGTTTTATTGAATATGATTTATTGTGAAATTCGACCTCGAAAGACGATGGTCGATAGTGACACTTATGTGGTAGCTAAATGTATGGAATCCGATAACCGTTTACCGAAGCATCGTATTTTTTTCTTTTTTTTATTGCTTAGATGGGTGGACGAGCTCACAGCCCACCTTTAAGTAAGTGGTTACTGGAGCCCATAGACCTCTACAACGTAAATGCGCCACCCACTTTGAGATATGAGTTCTAAGGTCTCAGTATAGTTACGGCTGTCCCTTTCAAGCCGAAACGCGTTACTGCTTCACTGCAGAAATAGCCAGGGTGGTGGTACATACCGGTGCGGACTCACAAGAGGTCTTACCACCAGTAATTATGCAAATTCTAATTTTGCGGGTTTGATTTTTATTACACGATGTTATTCCTTCACCGTGGAAGTCAATCGTTAACATTTGTGAAATACGTATTTCATTAAAAAAATTGGTACCCGCCTGCGGGATTCGAACACCGGTGCATTCGTATCTAGTGATGTGTTACCCTTTAGGCCACGACGAGTGTGTCTCGTAATGAAATGTCTTTTGTGATAATTTGTTAAGTTTCGGCGTGTATCCTGTGGGCGGGCTGGCGGTGGGCGCGGTGGGGGCGGGCGCGGGCGCGGAGGCCGCGCTGCCGCTCGCCACGCACGGGCCCGTGCAACGCATGGACCCGCTCAACAACCTACAGGTACACTAGACCACACTACACACTACACACATACCGCGAGCAACACTAGACCACACTACACACGGACGTTGACAGCGCGACCATCTAGATCAGTGATGGGCAAAGTACAGCCCGCGAAAGTATTTAATCCGGCAGTATCCGGCCCGCCGAGAGTCCATCCATCCTAAATATTCTAGTCAGTATTTTGGTGCGTAAAATAAAATCTAACGTTTATAATTGAAAATCTTAAAAATTTTAATGGAAGCTCCAATTCGTCAGGGGTGTTTTGAGCTTTCATTATCTCATAATTAACTTGCCATCATTATTATTATCTCGGCAGTATTAGTATGTATCACACGCCTCACGTCTCACACGCCTAACAAGGCGTAAAAGTAAAAGGTATTTTGTTTATTAAAAAGCTTTAATACAAAATGCTTCTTTTGTATAATTCTGACCCTCCTCTAGAATTTCTTGCAATTGCGTGCAACTTGGTGCACGTGTATGAAGTGAAACTTCTTTTTCGATTTGTAGTATTGTGGTTTCATTTTTCATCCTTAAATCAGATTGCTCTTGTAATAGGGAAAGATGTGTATAAAAGATGCAACATCTTCAACATTTATATATTTTAAATTATAGATAGAAAAATAATAGTATATAACGCACCGAGGGAGAAAAGCAGGACATTCACACCCGCGAATTGTTGGTGTCAATCGTGGGTGGGGATGTTCTAACTTTTATCCTTAGGTGCTTATACAATTTTTTTTTCAACCGGGTTGTAGAGTTCGCTTTTCGTCTCTGGCACGCGGGACAGAGTACCTTTGTCTTTTCATCCCTTTTTTCATCCCAGGAGGAAAAAAATACATGTATATATATTCTTAAATACTTCATTAAAATATTGGACGGTACTCGTTGCTAACGCTCACGCTGACCTGTAACAGGTATACTACGCGCATGCGTTCGAATGCCGCGCATTCACTCTCGCTCTGTCTCTTTCTAGTATAGTAGCGTTAAACGTTTAACGCAACCTTGTTGGAAGTCGCATCAGAAGTTTCACTTCAATAAATTAATTTGTTATTTCAGGTCGCGATAAAGAACAATATAGATGTTTTCTACTTCGCCTGCCTGATCCCCGCTCACATATTATTCACGGAAGACGGACAGCTAGACAAACGTGTGTTCCTCACGACTTGGAAGGAAATACCCGCAGCGAACGAAGTACAACACACGCTATCGAACGTTGTGGGAACAGCCGATTCTATCGCTCAGAAAATGACCCTAAACAATATCTTTACTATCGCTAAACGTAATGTTGAAGGCCAGGATATGTTATATCAGTCATTGAAGTTAACTAACAACATCTGGGTGTTGCTAGAGTTGAAACTTCAGCCCGGCAACCCCGAAGCGACGCTCAGCTTGAAGTCCCGAACTGTAGAGGTCGCCACGTGTATATTCCAAGCCTACGAAGCTATTATCAAATCGTAATCTCAAATTTGAATTGTGTATGTATATTTTGCAATTAAAGTATTCCAGTAGTTAAGTATGTTTCGCGACCTTTTTTTTTTATCAGTTATTACTGTTTAACAGCATTTATTATGTAGTCCGATTTATAAAAATATTTGTAACGTAACTATACAATAAAATTAGAACTTTTAATTTGACTGAATTACATCGCAAAATATTAATTAAATAAAATTATATTAGAAACGTTATATTGTATAGCCAATCATCGTATCTTGTTTATAAGTTATGTAAAATTTATTAATTACTTAATAAATGTTATGAACAAAAGTTATTATTGTAATTTCTATATCGACAGGTGAAAGGCTATTTGGTATTAGAATCAACAATGCGATGTTTTTAATTGATCTTCAATTAAGTTTACACCATTGAAATAGATAAAGTAGTTTTTTTTCTTCATATTTTTTCCAAATTTTAAACTTTAAATGGCTCTCCTGTAAAGTTGCAAAAATGTCGCTTCAACCAAATTATTTTACCCGCTTGAACAGTTGCTACCTCGCGCTCGCACCTACAGCGGGCTCTCAATGTGTCTGGCAAGATATAAGAACCATTAAAACTGTCCGGCTATTGAGGTAACATATTTTTATAAGTCCCTAAGTAACATAATTATATAAAATTCAGCTTTTATAGTATAACGAAAGTATAATTAAAATTTATTAAAGTTTAGGGGTGTCTGGCAGGGGGTAGCAACTGTAAAAAGTGTTCGGCAATGAATATCGTGATTTCTAAAGATATCCTGGAGTAAATAATAATAAAAATTAACTTTATACTTTAATGAATTTAAGGTACTATTTTATATGCCTTTACTGCCTGTTACCTACCCAAGTAACCACAATCGGAACTCCACAGTCGCGGATTCTTACCTGTGTTGGAGACACACACAGAGAAACTTCCAGCTTTTATAAAAGAACGAAGGTGTGGCTGTCGCGGTCTCTTAAGCTATGACGTTAAATATAGAAAATAAAAATCAAAATTATGAAAAGAAATAGTTTATTTCAGACTACTCTTGGTTATGTATTTAAGAAACGAATCTTATTTGAACGCTATTGCTGCACCAGTAATTCTGTTGTATTTTTTATTCATATCTTGCGATATTGAGGGATCTTGGTGATAAAAGAACTTTTCCAACAATTTTTAATATTAGGTATTGGCTAGGAGAAAGCTATAAATGAATGTACACAGCTCTTACTATGTTTTTACTAATTTTGGCAATTTAAAAAATACTTTTATTATTTAATTGTTGTCCTTATTGAGAGTGGTTGTAATTCTACATAGACTATTTCTATATCGACGCTTGAAAGGCAAACGTGACTAAGCGACAATAACTGCTTTGTACATAAATGATAGACAATAACAATATTCGAAGCGCAAAAAAAACATATTTCTAGGTTTATTTAAATCATTTCACTCCTACAGCTAGATTCGTTAAAATAGAAGGTAAGCTAAACCAACCAAACACAAATTATATCGACGCTTAAGGGGGTTTGTCGTTAAGTCGAGTGCCTTTACATGGAGTTTACACTGTGGTTGGGATATTAAAAAGAAACCATGGAGTAATAGTACAAAAACATGCTTATAATTTATTTTCCTTTTTACAAAATGGTCCAAAAAATTACATTCAGTACTTATTTATTTACATTTACAAAGTATAAAATTTATTCTTACTAAATTTGTTGCTATATATTTTTTTTCACTAAACATTATAAGACCTTAGTAACAATACTCTTTCTAGACTTTATATAAAAAGAAAAACAATTCATAAATATTCCATAGAAAGTTACAACAACACACATCTTTCATAAACTTTTCTTATAAAGGTGGGTAAAAGGACATTACATTTTTATATTATGGAAAGAGCATGTACCGCACTGTACAACTTTCGAGTTCATTAACGTCTAATTACAACACTATATTACAGCAAAAAAAAAAAAAAACTAAATTCAGCATTTTACATGTCACAGGAATACTTTAGGTACCTACACGAATTTAGTCGATTTTGACGAGAAATTCTTCGACCTCCAACTTCTGTCTCATGATCGCCGACAGAACAACCTCGGTACTGCAAACGACGTTCAACGTCTTCTCGGACTGCAACAGGTAATACACTAGATGGAGATCATTGGGCACGGTCAGTACCAAGTAACTGTACGGTCTCTGCGAGTGCATCTCCTGTATGGAGACAAATGAACGGCGGCTCTTTTCGACTCTGCCGCCGCACAGCTCTATCATCTCGGTGAGCGCGGCTTTTGTTGGCTTCACGCACGGCGTCATGAAGAAAGTGACGCCTTCAAACAGCTTCTTCCTCTGCTCGCCGCACAGCAGGACCTCGGCCACGTCGCAACGGAACATTTTATTGAAGGCTTCGTCCCGCAGACCGTGCTTCGCTTCGTCCGCAAATTTATTCTGCCTTTGACTCTCGAGGATCCACTCGGGAGTGAGCAAGTGCTTGACGGTGACGAGACAGCTGACCAGCTTGCACGTTCGCACCAACTTTTCCATTACCAAGTGCGTCGCTTCGGCTACTGAGGTTACGACGAGTCCTCCGAGTTGCCTGCAATTAATATCACTACATATTTACTATAATAAAATGCGTATATGTGTGAACATCACTATCATGGGCTGGTCGACGTCCACTGCTGGACGCAGGTCTCTCCTCAAGGCTCTCCTGCCTGCCGCAGTCCTGCGATGTTCAACAGATCGTCGATTCACCCTGTCGGAAACCTGCCTACGCATGCCAATTAATATATTGTCATGTTTCAATCTCACTTAATTCCAGATTATATTTTACTCCAAACAATCTCATGCATATTTTGGTACGTTAAATTACTTTTTCTTTTTTTATTGCTTAGATGGGTGGACGAGCTCACAGCCCACCTGGTGTTAAGCGGTTACTGGAGCCCATAGACACTTGAAACGTAAATGCCGCCACCCATCTTGAGATATAAGTTCTTAGGTCTCAGTATAGTTACAACGGCTGCCCCACCCTTCAAACCGAAACGCATTACTGCTTCACGGCAGAATTAGGCAGGGTGATGGTACCTACCCGTGCGGACTCACAAGAGGTACCAGCACATATAGCACATAGTATGTAGGGCCCGTGTACCTGACGACGGTGGCGAGCTTGTTCTGCAGGGCGGGCGGCACGGCGGAGAACAGCACGCGCGGCGCGAGGTGCAGCGGGGGGTGCGCGGCGTGCGGCGCGGGGGGCGGGGGGGACTCGAGGCGGGGCCGCTTGGCGCGCCGCACGCCCGCGCACACCGCCGCCGCCGCGCGCTTCGCCCGCTCGTGCGACTCCTGCGTTATGTTTATCGGCATCTTCCACGCGTCTGAAAATATTTATGTATTAATATCTACAAACATACACATAAACATTGTAACTATACTTGAGACCTTAGAACTTATAGCTCAAGGTGGGTGGCGTATTTACGTCGTAGATGTCTATGGGCTCCGGTGGGCTGTGAGCTTGTCCACCCATCTAAGCAATAAAAAAAAGCATAATTAAATACAGCCGTTTGTTAAAACTATTCAAGCGTCATTCAAATATGAATTGACCCTGGTGCAACAGCTTCATTAAATTTTAAATCAATTAAATATGCGATGTTTGAACGCGTATATCATGTACAAACAAGCATATAAACATTCTTTAAAATACCATTTAACTAAGCAGTCACTAATCTTATGTTACGTGATTATTTTTATGGCAGAATGCTAAATTATTATTAAACATAGAGTATCTGATGAACAATGCTCGAACAACACAACAAACACAAGAACACGTATTAAAGGAATACATAAGAAATACACTTTGACATAAGCTGGAAAAATTCATTTATGAGTAAAGATAATAAAGATATTACATAATAATATAAGTTCACATTAGGGCATCGACCCCATCCGTCAACTGATTCATAAATGTGTTACATTGCGGGTAGTCCAAGTCTGTCTCTTGATGAACTTCTCCCGACAACAATAATACTTAGTTTAACAATTCACGATAAAAAATATTTTTAGAAACTCATTCTTATTCTATTTAATATTATTATTGTCTTTGTATACTTACTCATTAAGTGCGACACTAAGCTGTAATCCATTCGGAACGGACTCGCCAAGTTAAACTGTTGGTATTTCGCATTTTCAATCTGAAAAATACATATATTTTTGTTATTATTATTTTACACAACAAAAACGATTTATATATTCAGTAAGTACCTTAATACAGAAAAGGGTCTTGTTGGCTTTGACGGATAGGGGTCAACGATCCCCTTGGAGCTCAGAAATCACTTGATTTGTAATTATATACTTAAACGAGTATATAGAATATCCTGCAATCTTTCGATATGAGTTAGAAGTCTACCCATTACTGCTTCACGGCAGAAATAGACGGGGTGGTGGTACCTACCCGCGCGGACTCACAAGAGGTCCTACCACCAGTAAAAAGTTAAAAAAGTTACCCAATTCCTTCTCACTGTCCGTTAATGTTGGTAAGATATGGTTACCTGCGCGAGCGCGGTCATGTTCCCGAGCAGCAGGTCGGTGAGCCAGGCGGCGGTGACCACGGGGATGCCCCACTCCTTGGCGCGCCGGTACTTGTTGCCCTCGGCGCGCTTGCACACCAGCACCGTGTTGTCGCGCGTCATGTACGGCGTCAGCTGGGGACCACACGTTTCATGATTTAATTGAGACACAGGATTTGCACGGTTTATATCAGAAACTAGTGATCCTAGCGACAAATAATATTAAAGACAAAGACTCAATTTGTATGTATTTTATATATTTATTTTATTTTATTTTAATGCGTAATATAAAAAAAAATTGTAGCATTCTGCACTCCCTCCCTATATTCTCTATAAGTGTGGCAAATTTTATACTCCTCCGTCCGCGCAATTTTCGTAAAAAGGAATACACAGTGTGAGGTTTATTGGGAGAGGAAGGAGGAGGAGGCGTGTGCGTTGGTTGTTTGTTGCGTGTTGTCCTCCATAAACCTCATCGGAGCGGTCAATAAAACACTAGGCATAATTACAGGTTTATTCGCGTCAGTGACCGCGGTGGATCGATGCACGTTGACCACGAACTGACCAAATTATGTTGCTCATTACTATAACTGCATAGTAAGCTAAGCGGGGCGGGGTATCATTCCCCTACAACAGTTTATGCTTCACGTATTACTTTAAACGAATAAGAGTTCCTCTTGACACGGACGAAAAGAAGAGTAGTTAGTGACAAATTTGAATTTGGAAACAAAACACTTGTGCCGGCTGAGATTTTGTGTTTGTGCCTTCAATCATAAAAAAAATCGGTTATCTGTAAAATCGGTTTACTGACGATAGTTGAACGTGACAACGTCATAAGAAAATATTGATGGAATGGTTTATTTTTCAAAAGAACATTTTAATTTTATTTGTTTGATAGATATTTTGTATGGATATAGAGAAGGAGGTAAATGGAAATCACTATTGAATTGGTCGTGACGCTTCAATTTCTCTCATGACGTTTTCAATGTTCAAATTAGACTCGAATTGACTACGGCGTTCCATGATCGCGTCTTTGTTGTCGTCAAATAATTGGATAAATTTATTGCCAGTTTAGCCACGTGATTGCGGAACGCCTCAGAGCGAGGTAACGCCACATGAGTCATGTTTCTTCGTGCGTGCAGCCGGCTCCATCGAATTATATGACGTTGTCACGTCGAGTACATAGCGATGTTATGTCAACGTGTGTCTGTGTGTATGTTTGTGTGCACGTGGGCGGCGCACCTTGGCTCCTACGTGCTCGAGGCAGCAGACGAGGCGCGATCGCTCGTCGCGCCGCCAGCCGGAGAGCGCGGCGCGGTGGTGTCGCGCGGGGCGGTCGCGCGCGGCGTACAGCAGCGGCAGGTGCAGCGCCTGCCACGGCGGGGCCACGCCGCGCCGCACCATCGCGTCCGACAGCCAGTACGCGGTCACGCAGCGTTTCGCGTCGCGGAGAGCCTGGACACGAATTTTGAACAATTTCTAAATATCGTCTAGGTGTATTTAATTCGTGTATCTCGATAATATGATATCATTAGTTTCTAGAAAATTTAATACAAGTCACAAAACGTTTTAAAAAACAAAAGAAATAAGTGACATCTTTTGAAATTGACATAAAATGTTTTATATGTGAGCGCGTAGGTTCTACAAATTTTATTCCAATTTAAAATCTTTTTTTTTAACCGTTAAGTTTTCCGCTCGAAGGAGGATCTTCCTTTTGTATTTAACCTTTCAGTGTTTAATGTATTCACGCAACTTATTTCGCAATGAAAACGACGAGGTCGAAATTTAAACTGTAATGCATAACGGGTGTCCCACCCTTCTTATAGCAACGCAGCTCTTCGCGACAAACGCGTGCAAGATTCTGTTGATTCAAAATACTGATAACAATAAATTACGTCATACGTACATTGGTCGTTGAATAGATCATAAAAAGTATCCACTTGTGACGTCACTATATAAAACTAAGCCGATCATATACTTTAGTATCACTAAAAGGGATTTAAGGCAGTTTCATTGACTTCATCTTTGACATTCATCAGATTGCTGGGTAGCCTCAAAGGGTCACCGGCCTAGCGGGTCTGAAAGTCTGAAGACCTCGTAATCCCAACCGTCCAGCCGTTCCAGCCGTTTCGCAGTACACCCATAGACTTAAATATAGAATCCACAAGAGGACATCCGGCTGCACCTGCATCACGACGCCGTGCTTCTGCGTCTCGCACAGCACGTGCGTGACCCGAGCGCAGTAGTTCAGTTCCACTTCACCTCCTCGCCGCTGTATCGCCTCCGTCCAACGAGACACACGCTCCGAACCCAAAGACTGTTGGTATTCCACCTGGAGACAATCGTTTAATTAGAATAGATCTTGAAACAATGAACATATCAATAGTGTAGCTCCTACCTCCTATAAAACCTATGGGATATATATTTTTTCTTTTTTTTTCTTACCTATGCTGATGCTATGATGAAGTTGTAAAAAATGGCATTTTGGTATATGTACCGTATAATATATTCATATGCATGTAGTAAAAAACGGTTATTTCAATATTACAAACAGACACTCCAATTTTATTTATATGTATAGATTAAACCGCAGACACAGCTCACTGTGTTTCTCGGCGGATCTTCTCAGTGGGTCGGGTTTCCGATCCGATGGATTCTGCGTAGCTCACCTACTAGTTAAGGTTACGCTGAAATAGCCTCTCAAGGCTATCAGCTTAGGTAGGAAAAAAAACAGCTTTACACTAGCGAGTAGGTAAGCTCTCACCGGGGCTCAAACCGGAAGTATTTCTAACACTGGCCCTAGCAAGAGCAGTGCTTCGCAGAATCTACCACCGGATCGGAAACGCGACCCACTGAGAAGATCCGGCGAGAAACTCAGTGAGCTGTGTCTGTGGCGGATATTTTTCAGTTCAATTGAATTAAAAGTAATAAGTCATAGTGTCGTCATCGTCAACTTTGTAGTATGTCATGTCGGATCTATCGGCGCAACGATAAAATTAAGTTAACCAAGCTTAATTAAAGTTAACTGTTTGCTTAATTTTGACATTGTTGGTTACCTATTATAAGTCCAATGTGTGTAAACAATTTTTTAAGACGGTATTCTAGAAAATTCATAGACTAAGCTACGTCCACTTTCTGCTATAAATACCAGTGACTTTTTTTTTGGTACAATTTTTCCTTATTAGAAAAGGCAAGGGGATCTAAGCCCATACAGCCTCGTCTGTTCTATATAATTTCTGAAATGAGTTTTCAAAAAAGCCGAAGCCAGGTTTTATATGATTTATATTATATATTGAAATAAAAATTTCATTAAGGCCGAAGCCTGACTATTGTCGCACAATACACAGGGCCCTGAAACTGCGATACTTGAAGATAAATATTTTTTTGGTGGCCAATGCCCGTAAACATTTTTGTTGAGTGCTTGAGTTGCTTATCTATAAATAATTTATGTATATTATCTATGCAATACATTCCGACTTGAAGAGCCGAATGATGACGTCATCAGTCGCTGTCGTCAACGGTCACTTCGTCGTGTCTATGTCACGAAGTTACCTGTTAAACGAATACTGGTAATTTTTTACTGGTGGTAGGACCTCATGCGAGTCCGCACGCATAGGTACCACCACCCCGCTTATTCCTGCCGTGAAGCAGTAATGCGTTTGGCTTGAAGGGTGGGGCAGCCGTTGGTAATTATACTGATATTTTAGAACCGATATCTCAAGGTGGGTGGCGCATTTACGTTGTAAATGTCTATAAGCTCCAGTAACCACTTAACACCAGGTGGGCGGTGAGGTCGTCCACCCATCTAAACAATTAAAAAAAAATACACAAGAAAATATGTAGTTACAGTGACAAGATTGAAGACTCACAATGTGGAAGACGCATCCGAGCAGGAAGAGGTCCGGGGGCAGCTTCAGATTGGGGTTGTGCCCGTAGAACTGTGCCCGGGCGGGGGGGGCCCGCACGGGGCCCGTGTACACCTTGCTGCCCACCGCGCCGGGACTCGCTCCCGACTGGACCACGGACTGCTACGTATAAACCAATACGGTTCTCAATACTCACATTTAGACGCAACAAGAATGTCTCCTTTTTTTTTATTACATTATTCCATCGTTCGATCGCTTTTCAAATCTCAGTCAAAAGATAAAAAAAGACGGCCATACTGAAAGTTCTTCGACATAATATAAATAGCAAACATATAGTAAACCTAGCTGACCTGGCAAACGTTGTTTTGCCATATATAAGATTTCTAGGGAATCTCTAGTGTGCAAAAAAAAAAACCTCATTCATACACATAATGTCTCATTATAGCAAAAAAAGAATTGTACAAAAAATAAAAAATAAATTTTAGGGGTTGACAACCCTTATCACTTAGGAGTATGAAAAATAGATAATAACCGATTCTCAAACCTACTGAACATGCATATAAAATTTCATAAAAATCGGTCAAACCGTTTCAGAGGAGTATGGTAACTAACATTGTGACACGAGAATTTTATATATATGATATTAAATTATAATTTAACTGGGTCTACTACTACTGTTCGTGAAAATAGTCCCGGTATTGACTAATGTGGCAAATTTTAAAATTTTAAGAACGAGTGCCTTGATCGATTGCTGTCTCCCTCGCACGCCTGCACCATAACAGTCTTGACGTTTTATTGTTTTAAAACTACCCTCATTATCAAACATGATGATCAAAGCCTCTAGACTTCAATTTTACGTTAAGTCAATCTTGTAATCACAAAATTCATGTACCGTAAAATGGGGCGATTAGGGACAAATTCCAACTTTATGAGCAATTTTAAGGTAGTTGTTGATGTTTATAATGCTATATCAGGATCAAAATGATTGAGTCTTGGGGGCATCTTTGTTGTCTAATTTAAAATTATGCAAGTAGCATTCCAGTTTAGGCAAAAAATGCAAAAATAGGTGTAATCCCTATTTACCCGAAAATTGCGGTTAATTGGGACGAAATGAGAAATTTGCTAGGGTTGGCACTACTTTTATTTTTATATATAGTTTTAATTTATTTATTTATTTAATTGCACCAACAAAGTGATCATCAATAAAAAAAATTGAAAAACTGACAAAAGTACATGGCAGACATCACCTCAATTATAGGTGCAATCGACAGTGCTGATATTTCTATCTGGGTTAAGAGATTAGGTGTGTCGGTTATTCCATGGATTAATCAGATGAATACCCCCACTCTGAACAAATATTAAATATTTTATTATGTATTACTTAGACATTTTTGTCCACCTTGAGATTTCATTGATCTTGTTACATGTCTCTGCAAAATCGACTTACTTATATTAAATTGCTTATCTATTTCAACTAAAGACTTATTCCCAATTTCGCTTCGAATAAACCAGATTTTTACCAACAAATTTAAAAAATATTGTTATAACTACATAGACAACCCTACAAACCTGTACCTATTTATACTTAGGTCGTTTCCATTTCACGTATTCTCATCCCAATTGACCCCTTTTTCGTTGTTATTTGTACCTAAGACGTCCCCAATATCCCCAAAAACAACAGATTTTTACATGTATTTTTATTTAATCAAATACATTAAAACCAATAACAACTGAGACTTACCTTTAATATATATGCTGGTTCAAACACTAAATAACGTTTATAAATCATAGTCGTCTTCTATTATTATCAAATAAATAAAAGAGAGCAAAGTTTCTAGCACTAAAATAATTACCACCACAGGAAGTTAATTTGAAACGCGATTTTTTATAAGTTAGCAGCTATTATCATGCATATTCAGAGTTGTTTTGTGAACTTTCAACATTCTACTATTAAACTACAAAAAATGGAAGATTTTGCAACGAATATAAAACTTATATTGAGCGTCGAAAGATTTTCCCGATTTTTTCCCGATTCGCCTCTCAATCCCTAATCGCCCCATTTTACCGGTACATAGAAGACGACATTTGGCCGCGCGGGTAGGTACCGCCACTCTGCCTATTTCTGCCGTCAAGCAGTAATGCCTTTCAGTTTGAAGGGCGGGGCAGCCGTTTTACTGTAAAAACCAAGACCTTAGAACCTTTGTCACAAGGCGGGTGGTGACATTTACGTGACCAATGTCCATGAGCTCTGATGACCTGGTCGGCTGTGAGCTCGCACATAAACCCAAGAAAGACAAACCCTGGCGTCTTTAAAGTCAAAATTATTATTATTATTTTTTTATACACAGCCCACCTGGTGTTAAATGGTTACTGGAGCCCATAGACATCTACAACGCAAATGCGCCACCCACCTTGAGATATCTAAGGTCTCAGTATGAGATATCTAAGGTCTCAGTATAGTTAAAACGGTTGCCCAACCCTTCAAACCGAAACGCATTACTGCTTCACGGCAGAAATAGGCAGGGTGGTAGTGGTACCTACCCGCGCGGACTCACAAGAGGTCCTACCACCAGTAATAATTTCAAGGATATAATGTTTACCTGGTGCGGATGATGGGCGGGTCCCAGTAGCAGCCTCGCCGGCGCCCGGACGGTTCCGCCAGCCGCGTGCGCTGCTGTCATCAGCCTGCACATCACATATCACTAAACTACCACTGACCGCGTGATACAACATTACCCACGAAAGAAGAACGGCAGTTTTTGTACCACTAAGAGTTGTCTGATATATAAAGGGTAAGTAACAATCCAAATATTTTCGTGTAGAAAAAACTGTTTTAATAAACGGAATGCAATCGATACTGTGCAGACAAACAAAAATGACCTCTACAGCAATATTATATTTAACGACTTTCTGCAAAAAAATAATTAGAAGGCTTGGCAGTGTGGCCTGTGTATCCTTTGCCTGTCCAAACGGATGAATCGACAAACAAAAATGGTATACCGGTTCCACTGTTTTAAAAAAATATACTGCTAGCGTTCTGTGTACATTGTAGGTATTGAAATGTGGTTGAGTTTTTGACTAAAGTCATAACACTACAAAACGCTAAAATATTGAATATAATTTAAGAGCGCCACATGACATTTCTGCGTCTGCGTTGCCGTTAAAAACTCACTACGTATGAAGGTACAATACCTATGTTTGCAAAGTTCTAAAACTCGGATAATTAAAATTATATTCGACAATGATATTATCTATCAAATAAAGAAAACTTAGGCTGCGGCTTGGCTCTGCCCCTGGCATTGCTGACGTCCATGAGCGACGGTGACCACTTACCATCAAGTGGGCCGTATGCTCGTCTGCCAACAAAGGCAACAACAAAAAGAAAAACATGAAACTTTATAGTGGTACAATTGTCCCATACATTGCTACCATTGTTCTTTCCAAGAGAACACCGTGTCATTAAATGATTAAATGATATCGAGATTCCTATGAAAATGCCATTTTGTGTTCATATTAGTAATATCATTAATAAAATTGAAGTTAGGTATTAATTGCTGGATATTAATGGCTGGTTATTATTCAACGTCATAAAAACTTACACCATGTTTGTTTTTTTTTATTTAAAGAAAGTCTGCTGTGCCACTCCTTGCACGTTCTTTGACTTAAATGTAAATCCTAATAGTTAAGAGAGAGAGAGAGCCAGTAAATCTCGTTTTTTTTTAATCTATTACCACAACACGGTTCGGATTCTTTTTTACCATAGAAGACTAATGTTAGGGTATCTTTTGAGTCCGCAGGGGTAGGTACCACTAACTTTTTTTTTGGGCCTGCGGCCGGACCTTCTTCGAAGTTCCCGCGCCTAGGGGGGCGCACAGGGTGTGTGGGACTGGTACGCGACTGCGAAACCGAGGGCCCAAGGATGATGACCCTACCTACTAAACAACTCCCCTGCATTTTTCGCCCAAGAGCCCGATCCTCTCCGAGGTCAAGCCCGGATGAGGTAAGGGGTTACCGCAGTCAACACTACAACCAGACGGCGCAGCTCACTCCAAGGACGCTCGGCCGACGGAGCCTTCGAGGCGAACCAAAGGTTCTGAAACGTCGGCCTTCTCGGTACGGCAGCCCGTCAGGCCGCCCAGACAGTGCCGCTGGTGTCCCGGAATACCCCGCTGGACCAGAACCAGCCTGCCGGGTTGGGGCGCGATACACCGTCAACCGGTTGCTCTTTTATGTCTGCTATTTAGATTTTTTTTTCTTATAGCTTAGATGGGTGGACGAGCTCACAGCCCACCTGGTGTTAAATGGTTACCGCAGGCCATGGACATATATAACGTAAATGCCGCCACCCACTATGAGATGTGGGTTCTAAGGTCTCAGTATAGTTACAACGGCTGCCTTGAAACCGAAACGCATTACTGCTTCACGGCAGAAATAGGCAGGGTGGTGGTACCTACCCGTTTGAACTCTCAAGAGTTCCTACCACAAGTAATTACGCAAATTTTAATTTGCGGGTTTGACTTTTGAATGGTTTTTGAAATGTAATTTGACGGTTAGAAATGAAAATTTTTTCAACTTGTCTCCTATGCGAGTATAAGACTTTCCTTACCTCTGCCTTCCATGCGAATTAAACAGTTGCACCTTGTTACAATTTATGTAATGACAAACATTTTTATACCTACAAACGGTTTTTTAAATATGGTACATTTAGAAAAACAAGCTCAAAGAATTGAAAAAAAAAACAAGTAATTATAACAGTCAATAAAAATGACTAGAATTCTAATTACAATTAAAAAAGCAAACTTCAAGTAACACAAAACAGCAGTTTCATAGGCAACTATCATTTATTAAGCAGTTGCAATTCTATTAACGCTTATTTTATATATAAGATAAAAAGCCAAAAATAATTTGTATGTAAGCTAAAGATAAATCTCGTTAGAATAAACTGTCAATTTTTTGTTATAAAACTACTGTAAGCAATATTAAAATGAAAAATGTGTATTTAGGGCACGTGTTAAGGCAGATTACTTCAGAACAAAAAATTATATCATGCAACTAATACCAAACTGATACAGTAAAAAGTAAAGTAAAGTTATAAAGTAAATATAAAAAGTAAAGTTATAAAAAGGGAAAGTTATTTCAAAACATATATCAAAAGCATGAGTCATCTGTTTGTCAGTTTTTTTTTCAAATCTTATTGATAATAGAATAACTCTATAAATACATTTTTACTGTACGGTCAACAAAAAAAAGCTATATTTATATATAAAAAAATATTAAATTATATAAAAATTAAAAGGCTCGTGAAATTAATGGATCTAAAAGAAAAATAAAAGTATTTCTTACATGTAACTAGAGTTTGTATTAAGCATGCAGCTAAAATCTGTAACAAAAACACATGTATACAAATTTTATATGGATTGTTTTTTGGACCAACCTGAGTGCGCCCGCGGCCGAGGGCTCGTGGTCGGCGGGGGGCGCCGCCCCCTGTAGACGTATGTTTAACATATTCGCTAGCGCTGTCTTTGTCTTGGGATTTACCAGTAGTGCATTACCTGTGGTCAAATATTAACCTAACTTGTAGATTTTTTTTTAATTTTCCTTTCGATTCTATATTCCCTTATCACGATAATGTTGCCATTGCTGTATGAACGGTCAGGTGTGCAGTGATGACTACGTTCCGAATTTGACCGATGTGAAAAGTGATTATTATGCAGACGGTACAAAATAGAGTCCTCACATAAAACTATCGATAATATTATCAAATCGTTATCGCAGAATATAATAAATAGTATCTAATATCTTCTTCGAAACTCAGTCCTTTTTATAATAATAGATTGATATTAATTTGCTCATTATCCTTATTAGAATTTTAGTTGTTTTCAGATGGATACAGAATTATAGATGAACAATTTCAATGTTCATATATATATATTTAAATCCTTTAAATCGATTGCTGTAAAGCCGTTGTTTTCCAAGCTAGAACCTTTGAAACAAACTATATTATTTTACTTACATATAGATAAAAAAATGTTACAAAAAACTTTTTTGTTCTCAATTTTTTTATTGAATAGACGGAGGAGAATGGGTACTCAGACCATAGACATTTCAACGCAAACTCTCACCTCGAGACACAAGATCAACTTACCTACGTTTGCCGCTAGGGGCGCTGTTCCAACTCCGTACAAATTTGGAGTTAGCCCATAAGCTATCAAGAAGTTAAAAACTCGTGCTAAGTACACGGAGTTACAATTATATTGTACATCGGCTTTCTCATCGAAGCGAAACGCGTGACCGCTCCGTGGCAGAAATAGGCAGGATGGTTGTACTTACCCGTGCGGGTTTACGAGTACGCACTTACCACCAGCAAAATGAGATTTAGTGGATGCAGTAACATGCAATATCAAATGATGACCAGGGTCCTGTGGTTACATTGTATTATTTGCTATATGTTCAATGATAAAGTTACAAACAAACACACAGTTTTATACAATGACGTTCGTAATTAACGGTCTACACGATTATGGTATCCAATGGTACAGATTCCCTTAATTCTTCCCTGGAAATATATTATCCGGTTTTAAGAATTCGATATATCCACTATTAGATTACAATTTTCTTTCTTTATTTGAGAAAAAGACCGTGAACAAAACAGATACAAGCAGACAGTGAAGCATAATTCTGGTAACTACATAGTAAAGATTATTATTAGTTATTCTTATAATTATTTTGTTCAAAGCGGCCCCTCTTACCACCACCGCACCGCAGGCTACGACAAGTATAAAATTTGAACCAATTTATGCGTGTTATGTTTATTTATTGGCTTTTTTTATACATTAACAACAATTAACCTTTTATAGGTCATAATGATCTGGGAAGATATTGTAATTCAGGAAATGGTTAGTACATCATTTTATTAATTATTTAAAAAAAAAGTATATGTTATCATTCATAAATGTTGCCAGATTAAAAAATTACGACTTATTATGGAAGCATTCAGAGATATCTGCCAAAAAAACAGATGATACACTAATTCCTTTGCCCTACAAACTGTAAGGAAAGTTTTTTTTTTTAATTGTACCATAGATTAATTTTAAGTTACATTATGATTTTTTTTATTGCCCTTGTAGGCAGACGAGCATACGGCTCACATGATGGTGAGTGGTTACCGTCGCCCATGGACTTCAGCAATGCCAGGGGCAGAGCCAAGCCGCTGCCTACAAAAGTATTAATTAAGGCATCTATAGTCGAGCCATACGTGTTGACGTGAATGACCATAAAGGTATATTATAAGTCTTACTTTGTTGCTGATCGGTGGCGTTGGCCGTGAGCAGAGACCCTTCGATCTGTTGCTCCGGCAACGGGGCGGCGCTGACCACGTGCGGGGATACCCCAGGCGACACCTTTCAATTATATTATTATTATATTTACTGGCGGTAGGGCCTCTTGTGAGTCCGCGCGGGTAGGTACCACCACCCTGCCTATTTCTGCCGTGAAGCAGTAATTGCCTTTCGGTTTGCATATATAGTTGTAATGCTTTACATAAATATAACTAGTCGACCTGACTAAGACAACATAAATACATACAGACAATAAAGACATTAAAAATAAACGAAATAGTTCAAGGCGTTCTGAAGGATTACTCTGACCTTAGAATTTTTTGAGCTTTTAATTGAAAAACTATAAATATTTAGATATATATTTTTAAATTAAATGAATTTTTTTGTGTCATTATTCAAATGACATAAAAAACAAAATGCTTATGTAATTTTTTGTGCAATTTACCATGCTAGAGTTAANTCCCAATTTGGAGTCACTCAAGACATCCTTGATTAAGGCAGCCGCCGATATTGACATGGACCTCGTTCGTGCTGCGATAGACGACTGGCCGCGCAGATTGAAGGCCTGTATTCAAAATCACGGAGGTAATTTTGAATAAACTTTAGTGTCATAAGAATCTATGTTTTGTTAAGTTCATTTTGGTATATGAATGGTTACATAATGAATAAACTTGTTTCAATTATTTTACATTAAACATGTGACAGAATTTATGACCTGACTAGGTATAAAGGTAAATAAGTACGCGTGGTGTTTGCGACCCAGTTATTACTTCAAATTCTCTCTACATGCGAGAAGGCAAATGCACGTATGTGTTCAAACATTAAAATTCAATGAATTCCCCGAGAATAGATAATTTATTATTAACGTATGTACGTGATCTTCAACATGTCCAAACGAACCTGCTTAACGGCTGCGTGATGGTGCACGGCGTTCTCCCGTTGCGCGTGCAGCTGCTGCAAGCGCTGCATCTGCTGCTGCCTTTGCAGCTGTAGCTGTTGGAGTTGAGTCTCCACAGTTCCGTTTCCGCCAACCGGACTCACTACGGCTGTACCACCCACTACCATAAAAAAACGATTAATTACTGTTTTTGCCGACATACTCGAGATGATCCCTTCATCTCCTTTTTATCATCGCACCTCCCGCCACCGGAGCAGAGTTCATCCATACAACCTGGAGCCACTGCGGTCATCCACAGTGCGTTTCCAGAGGTCTTTTTTGCCACGTACCATCCGGCTATGGAATGAGCTCCCCTCCACGGTGTTTCCCGAGCGCTATGACATGTCCTTCTTCAAAAGAGGCTTGTGGAGAGTATTAAGCGGTAGACAGTGGCTTGGCTCTGCCCCTGGCATTGCTGAAGTCCATGGGCGACGGTAACCACTCACCATCAGGTGGGCCGTATGCTCGTCTGCCTACAAGGGCAATAAAAAAAAAAACTAAAACATTTCTGGAAATATTTTTGTGTTACCTCTGTTTTATTCAATCTACAATTACATAAATACACAGCGTTGTCTATAACTAAGTAATTTGTATTATATTCATACAAGCAGTAATTTTTTATTGTATCTATAACTCACAACAATAGTTATGGTTTATGTCATCTTCTATGTAATAATAAATATGTCTTTCTTAGTAATTTATAACGCATATAGTTTGATTGTCTTGAAAGAATTTTGTAATAGTACCGTTAATATACAACAGATGGCGCGCAAGTAATTTTAACGTTTAGCAATAGTTAGAGCGGAGTGTGACCGTAATTAACTATATCTCAGTAGAGAATAGAAGCAGACAATGATTTTATGGTAATTTAAACTGAGGAAAGATCTGTGTCAAAATATTAATTTTGTTGTTGAATAACATTCCTGATTTCGACTCATTTTAATTCGTTACACATCTAATGAAAAACACACTAGATCCCATGGCCACCTTTTTTTTTCCTACCCAAGCTGATAGCTTTGAGAGGCTATTTCAGCGTAACCTTAACTAGTAGGTGAGCTCGCGGGGCTCAAACCTGACGACGTTGCTAACACGAACCCTAGGAAGCGCCGTGCTTCGCAGAATCTACCACCGGATCGGAACCGCGACCCACTGAGAAGATCCGGCGAGAAACTCAGTGGGCTGTGTCTGAGGGTTAATTTACTCGTCGAGCCCTTCGTCGCACATCGCCACCAAAGAGAATCGATGGCAGTTTTCAACGAGATAAAAATATTAAATGCTGATCAATAATAGAGTAGCCATATAAAATCTCAATCAATAAAAATACCTGAAACTTTACGACAGCCCCATTGTGAAGTAAATTCCGTAAACAAATCAAATTCACTACGAGAAAACTCACTTTCATTATCACTATTCATCTCAAATACATTAAATGTCATATTCACTTGTTACAATCGATTTAAGCACTCAGCAGTGAGGTATTTATCATTTTTAAGCAAGTTATTTGGGATATTCACCGTTGTATCTAGAAAATACTTAACCGTATGATAGATACGTTATAAAAATGTAATCCTTTATTGGACCGAATTCGATTTTATTTTAGAAAACCTCACACGTTCCTTTTTATTATGTATGCATGAGTAGGTATGGAGGGATTTAAATATTAAAACATGTACGAACGTAACAATATATTCAGTTCAGTTGTACCATTACAGGCGCGTACGATAACGTTTTTAGTTTGGTAATTTTCCGGGGACAGACCTTAAGAGATGCGTAAGTACAGAGTCCCGTAAAAGAGCTTGGTTTAGTGTTTATGCGACTTCCCCGGTTTTTATTTTATTTGTTGCTTAGGTGGGTGGACGTGCTCACGGCCCACCTGGTGTTAAGTTTTTTTTTTTATTGCCTTTATAGGCAGACGAGCGTACGGCCCACCTGATGATGAGTGGTTACCGTCGCCCATGTACTTCAGCAATGCCAGGAGCAGAGCTAAGCCGCTGCCTACCGCTTAATACTCTCCACAAGCCTCGTTTGAAGAAGGACATGTCATTGTGCTCGGAAAACACCGTGGAGGTGAGCTCATTCCATAGCCGGATGGTACGTGGCAAAAAAGACCTCTGGAAACGCACTGTGGATGACCGCAGTGGCTCCAGGTAGTATGGATGAACTCTACTCCGGCGGCGGGCGGTGCGATGGTAGAAACGAGACGATGGTATCATCTCGAACTATTCCTCAGAGCACTCTTCATGGAACATGCGGTACAAAATACGGAGGGAACCGAAGTCCCTCCGCAGACCCAGTGGCTCCAAACGAAAGTGGTTACCGGAGCCCATAGACAACGTAAATGCCGCCACCCACCTTGAGATATCAGTTCTAAGTTCTCAAGTATAGTTACAACGGCTGCCCCGCCCTTCAAACCGAAACGCATTACTGCTTCACGGCAGAAATAGGCGGGGTGGTGGTACCTACCCGCGCGGACTCACAAGGGGTCCTACCACCAGTAATTACGCAAATTATAATTTTGCGGGTTTCATTTTTATTACACAATGTTATTTATCCACCGTGGAAGTCAATCGTAAACATTTGTTTAGTACGTATTTCATTAGAAAAATTGGTACCCGCCTGGGATTCGAACACCGATGCATCGCTACATACGAATGCTCCAGGCGTCTTATCCTTTAGGCCACGACGACTTCAAATCAAGGTACCACTTAATATCAAGTTAGCTCGTTTGCTCATCGACATTTCTACAGACACGTTCACGAGTTTTTTTATTTTTTTTATTGTTTAGATGAGTGGACGAGCTCACAGCCCACCTGGTGTTAAGTGGTTACTGAAGCCCATAGACATCTACAACGTAAATGCGCCACCCATCTTGAGATATAAGTTCTAAGGTCTCAATTATAGTTACAACGGCTGCCCCGCCCTTCAAACCGAAACGCATTACTGCTTCACGGCAGAAATAGGCGGGGTGGTGGTACCTACCCGTGCGGACTCACAAGAGGTCCTACCACCAGTAATTACGCAAATTATAATTTTGCGGGTTTCATTTTTATTACACGATGTTATTCCTTCACCGTGGAAATCAATCGTGAACATCTGTTGAGTACGTATTTCATTAGAAAAATTGGTACCCGCCTGCGGGATTCGAACACCGGTGCATCGCTCNAGGTCCTACCACCAGTAATTACGCAAATTATAATTTTGCGGGTTTCATTTTTATTACACGATGTTATTCCTTCACCGTGGAAATCAATCGTGAACATCTGTTGAGTACGTATTTCATTAGAAAAATTGGTACCCGCCTGCGGGATTCGAACACCGGTGCATCGCTCAACACGAATGCACCGGACGTCTTATCCGTTAGGCCACGACGAGTCAATGGAGTACGAATAGCACAAAAAATACGACATAGAAACTTCATATTTCTTGAACCAGCAGACAGTCGTAAGGCATTTAATTTGTATTACAATGACATTCCTTAAAACAGAGTATAATTCGAAATACGATTTGGCTTAAAGGCCTCGTGACCAGGACACAATATCTTTAAAAAAAAAAACTGTCCTATTTATCTGACCTGGAGACTGCGGTGGAGGAGCAGGCGTGGCCGCTGGTATAGTCGTGGTCCTCGCTCCTTGCTGCTGCAGCCATTGTACCTTGACCAACAGTATAATTAGGACTAGTTTTCGAATACAGATTTCGTAAAATTTTGCTTCATTAATTCAACGACTCGATAATGACAGATAAACTATTAAATATCGAGGTGTGAAAAGCTATTTGGATTAAGCGTCATTTTTTTAAACTTTACAAGGAGATCTATTCAAAGTTTAAAATTTAGAAAAAATCTCATGACCAAACAACTTATTCAGTTATAAGAATGTGGTAAACATAATTGAAGTTCAATTAAAAACATCGAATTATTGATGGTAATAACCAAATAAAACAGAGCTTTAATTACAAAAATAAATGTCATGTATTAAGTAAAACGTTGCTTAAGCTAAATAGCATTTCATCGCTCGATATGATTTTAACGTGAAAGGTTTACAAGAACTAATCGAGTCCACTAATTTAACGTTACCGGCTATCTTTTGACATAAGGTCGCAGTCTCAATGGAATTCGAATCACGGATACCGAATACACGAAAACCAGTACTTTGGTAGCAATATTGCAAGAAAAATGCAATTTCGATAAAGCGGCACGACACGAGAACCCTCTCATCCTGAACGCCGGTAACTACATCCCCGATCCTGCGGACCGAATGGTAAACAGTCGACGTCGCCCCAAACACGTCATTTCGGATCCTCCCGATCCACTAACGGTGATTTTAGGTACCCCAAGCACCAGTCATCGCTCTCGTTGAACCCAGCCCACTAAGTTTCTCGCCGGATCTACTCAATGAGTCGCGTTTCCGATTCGGTGGTAGATTTTGCGAAGCACAGCTCTTGCTAGGGTTCGCGTTAGGAACATAGTCAAGTTTGAGCCCCGTGAGCTTACCTACTAGCCGGGTGACGCTGATATGGCCCCCTAGACCATCAGCTTAGGTAGCAGAAAAAGCAGACAAAAGGCTTCATCAATATTTAGCCATTGCGATAGTTTATGGGCTACGCGCTTTACTCAAGTAGTAGGCACTAGGCCAGTTGGTAAAATACTGAAGGTGGGTATTGAAAAAAAGATATGAAGGATGACGTTGATGATACCATACTGATTTAGATGAAGACTGCGGAAATAGTGACAGAAAGTCAAGATGGCCAGTAGTGGTGTATTGTGCAAAAATAATTGATTTGATTGAATAATAGTGTTGAGGATTTGTTAGATGTTGCACAGAAAATAAATTCCTTAACCAGGTTGTGCGATTTACCATAAAAGCAATACTGATGTTACCTGTTGTTGTGGTGCGAGTCCGGGCGCCAGTTGGCTCCGTATGAAGGTGACGCTCTGCGGAGCCCCCGGCGGAGACTGCCCGCCCGTCCCCGCCTGGTATAAAAACAGCTTAAATCTCAGTAATGTGCTGATTAAATATATATACACAAGTTCCGGAAGTCAAAGCGTTATGTGAAGGGAAGAACGGAAGGGAGAGAGAATGGTAAGTTGGATCGAAATCTACACTAATATATAAATCTACAGTGGTTTTTACGGATGTTCCGTTATAACTACTTAACCATGCATCCGATTGACTTGAAACTTGGTGTCCATGTAGAAAATATATGTACTTAATCGATAGGCTAATATTTATTGAGTGTTGGGCTCTCTACACAGTTGCAGGGGCGTTAATGATGAGAATCTTTGTGGGGGTGAGTAATAATAATGTTAATTTTAAATGCCCAGCGAAGCGGACGGGTACGGCTAGTCGTTTATATTTTCATCAGGAGATACCAGATTGGCAGCCATTGTATCAACTGTTGAACTATAGGCACTCTCAATGGTTCGGCATAGCAAAGGCGTTCCTGACGCATTTCAAGGTCGCGGAGTTGGTATGTAGAGGGTAGGTAGGCAAAGGTGTGCAGAAATCTTTATAAATATATATTTTGTTTTTTTTTCTCTAGTAACATACAATAACCCGCTTTTTTACCAATGAATGCAGTCGGCACCTGTAATTGTGTTAGCATTTAGTGTGAGATCATGTATATGAGCATTTCTCAAAATAAATGCACCACCAATAAAATAATGTACTAAAATAAAAATGTTAAACTAAAGCATTTTTTTTGTTTTCATTTGTAGATAGGTGTCTAAAGATTTTGAATATGAGGTTTGTTCTGAGGTTTAATATGTAATAAAGTAGAGAAATGTGTAGAAATATACCAAGGGCGGAGAAATATTCNAAAAGAAAAGTTCTTGAGGTATTTATATAGAAAATTAACCTCAAAACGAGTTTTTTTATTTTTATTATATTTTTTATAATAGTGGCGTCAATTTAAATATATTTTTTAGATATCTAATACATTTAAGAATTTGAATCAGTCCATTTTTATAGTAATATTTAATGTCCACCTTGGGCCTAGCACACTATGGAGAGTGGGCAATCCCCTTTGAATGAAATCTGGCCGTTTAAAGGGGGTCAAAATCGCGTCTAAAGGAGTCATTTACAAACATACATACAAGTGATACAATATACAGCGTGTAAAAACAATTAAGTTTCCCTACCAGTCAAACAAATATACCTGCTGTTGCGAGAGAGCGGCACGTTGGAAGGAAAGTTGTCTTCTTTTCTGTAGCTGTGCGACAAACAGGGCGCGCTGCTGCGGATTCATCTGCTGGAGTTGCGCGTGTGTGTGTGCGTCCAGGTGGATCAGCTGGCGACCTCCCGCTCCTGCCGTCCACGACACCTGCACGTGAATCGAGAGCACGACACTCAACAACAGTTTACTGCCAAAGTGGGTAAATATCTCAAGGTGGGTGGCGCATTTACGTTGTGGATGTCTATGGGCTCCAGTAACCACTGAACACCAGGGAGGCCGTAAGCTCGTCCACCCATCTAAGCAAAAAAAAATGTTCACTGTTCATTTTTACAACATACCGTCATTTCGCATTAAAAAAGGTACAATTTCCAACAATATTCGAAATTAAGTTAATATGCGTAAACTTTTGGTATGACCAGTATTTTTCTCATAAATACTGTCAAAAGTTTCACTGCGCAGTTTAGTTTCATTTTTTTTATTTAGTTTACCTATGTTTTGACTACTAATAATAAAATTAATACATAATTTTATCTTACTTTAAAAGACAAATAATGTAACTGGTAAAAAATTAAAAGTTGCTAAGATGATTAATAATATTAAAAATATCACATGTTGAACCTTTAAAACACTCTTCTGTGAAATTAGTAAGTTTTGAGATTATACAGTTTTAATGAGAGAAAACGATGTGTGTTTAAGGTAAATTGTTTATTAAAATTTTATTTTTAGACTCAACTTAAACAGTTATCATATACTAGTGCTCATTATTACTGTTGTAGGCAATACTAAATTAACCTAGTATGTAAATATTACATAAAAATCTACTGCAAATGTGGGTAATGAATATTTAACATACCCGTGGTCCCACTGCTCCATTTTGCGCAATCTGTTGTCTCTGTTGCAAGTATTGCTGCTGTTGCCATGAGACATTCTGCCCTCCCTGAACTATTTGTTGGCCTCCAGGTGATACGATCTGCTGAGTGCCCCCGTGGGTTATTATCTGCTGTATTCCGCCTGCCGCCGTCAACTGTGACCCAGCCTGAGGAGATTGAGGCAGTTGGGATAGAACTTGCTGTGTTTGGCCAACTGCTTGACCAATTATTTGCTGACCAGACTGTGAAACAATCTGCTGAGGCGATTGTGCAATCACAACTTGATGTTGTTGACCCTGCTGAGTGATCACATGTTGCCCACCTTGTGTCAGAACTTGCTGAGTACCCTGAGAGATTATTTGCTGTCCAGATTGATTAACAATTTGACCTTGGGACAGTATTTGTTGGCCGCCTTGCAAGGACACTTGTTGATTCCCATGCACCAATATTTGTTGTTGACCGGTGTGTTGATTAATCAACACTTGCTGTGGGGCTTGTACAATTTGTTGTTGACCCGAACTGTTTAGCAGTTGTTGTTTTTGTACTAAAATTTGATGATGAGTTTGACCTTGAGAGCCGATGGTCTGTTGCAGGATTTGTTGCGGTGCTTGTTGTATTGTGTGCTGAGGGCTCAGTTGAGCTTGTTGGTTACTTATCAGAGCCTGTTGTTGAGTTTGCATAATTTGTTGTTGCAGTATAACTTGATTCTGAGGATTTCGTGACTGAACCAAGGAATTCCTAATAATTTGATGCTGTCCTCCCACATTTTGGACCATTTGAATGTTTTGCTGTCTCCATGCACCTTGGACAGGCAAATTCGATCCTTGTCCTTGAATGGTCTGCTGAACTGTCTGTATCTGTTGCCCGATTACAGACTGCTGACCGGTGTTGCCAACTAACTGGTTTAGTTGCACACCTTGCGCCTGCTGGCCCTGAGACGAACTCACAAGGCCTTGATTAACTACACCCATGTTAATATTTTGATTATTCAGTGACTGTACGTTTTGTTGTTGAATTAAATTTGAGTTTTGGGATGAAAGCTGTTGTCCAGAGCTAATCAACTGTTGATTAATGACTTGAGTTTGCCCTAAATTCTGATTCAGTTTGGCATTTTGCAAGTTCTGTAAATTTTGGGTGGACTGGGCTAACTGCTGAGCGATGTTTTGTACAGCTTGTGAGGCGGTCTGCTGACTCAGGCTCAGGGTTTGTTTCATTGCCATGTTCTGTTGGTTTAATTGTGCCTGTTGCAAATTGTTAGCACTTTGACTTAGCATCTGACTGATGTTCTCAATGTGTTGTTGAGCAGAACTCATGGATGTTGGAGTCTGTATTGATTGCTGCAAATGATGTTGTTGAGTGTTTTGCATGTGCTGTTGGAGTTGCCCTGAAAGGTTTTGTGATATTTGTGACACGGCAACATTTTGCTGTGTATACTGCTGATTCTGTTGATTGTTCAGTTTGTTTTGCTGCAGCATCTGCATCTTTAGCTGGTGTTGTTGCAATAATTTCTGTTGTTGAATCTGTATCGCTGTCAACCCATGGGGCTGTTGCTGCTGCTGTTGTTGTTGTTGCTGCTGCTGATGTTGTTGCTGCTGCTGTTGCTGAGAGTTCTGATAGCTTTGCTGCTGGTTCAGATTTACCTGACTCTGTATGCTTATATTTGGTTGAGAAACAACTGTATTTTGACTGAATTTCTGCATCAGTGTTGGATTTGCTTGACTTGAATGAATATGGACATTCTGTGCTACCATGCCTTGAGGAATTTTGCTCATGACGTTTGAGGTAGCCATTTGAGATGTGGTGTAACCCATGGAACTGACTGCTGCAGTAGATGTTATTGAGGCATTTATACTAGAGGGTGGATGATTCCAAGGCATTCTTTGCTTTAGTTTATCCAGTAGGGCCTGTGTACTATCATCCTTGTTCTCGGTCATGTTTTGTGTGGGAACTTCGTTTTTGGCGATACCTTCTTCAAAATCAAAGCCTGTTATGGCACTAATGCGGTCCATACACTTGGGAGGAGGTTGGGGCACCACTAGAAGTTTCGGGTGGAAAACTTCAGTGGTAACTTGATTTCTTGCTCGGAGACTTTCAATTACCCAATCAGGTGTCACTATTTTAATTCTTGTAGGAGGCAGATTTAACGCCACACTGTATTTTTTGCCACTGGCAGAACCACAGATCAAATAAGTGCACTGAGAGTCTAAATTCAGTTTCACTTGGCCACCATGGAAAGTAATGAGAGCAAACAATGTTTTAGCATCGGCTGCACTAACTTTTGCAATACAAGCTACAACATTACTAAATAATTTATTCTTATAAGGGATGTAGGGCTTGGTATTAGCAAGTTTTCCAAGACGTGCACATGCATAAACCCAGTGTTCAGTCACTGCAGGGATCTGATATATCTCCTGGGCGTCTTCAATGTCGCTATCAGCAGCATTCTGACCACAAATTAAATGTGTGACATAGTCAGAAAAATACTTTGTGCTCTCTGCACCTCCGGACTGAAGAAGTTGCATGACCTAAAATATAAACACCTGTCATCAAAAATATATAAAGCATGAGATGATCACCAAACTTACTTTAGATAATACAACTATTTTTCCTTCCAAACAACCATTAGAGGGAAAACTAAAACAATCTATACTTTTACAAAGGGTAAATCAGTGACAACAATCACATAACAAATGTTATATAGTTTAAATGTTTAGTTAAATTTTTATTTCTTTTTTTTTTTTTATTGCATTCTTAATTCTACATTATGACAAATATTCTCTTAATAAGAGTACTTCTGTAGTTTAAAAAGTATTTGCTGAATAAAAAAATATATTATTGTTAATTTAAAATTATGTTTGATCATCATTTCTTGATAAATATGATTAAAACAAACCTTTTCACAGACATCGCCAGATATGTAATACTTGACATCTTGGAAGATTGGCTCTTGCAAACTCAATGAATCTAAATTGTCAACGATCGTTACCATTTTCTTGTAAACCAATATATTTGTAATGTCCTTTTACAAACTAAAAATTCATTTTGTTAAAATTAACAATTATAGCCAAAAATCCACGCAAACGCGCCGTCCATGTTGTCATATTTGACAGCGCCATTTGTCGTTTGTCAGCATCACTGGCAGGCATCTGCAATTCATTTATTTTGTTTGATTTGACAAATAAAAAGGCAAAAGGAATATCGCCTATATATTTAAAAATTTTATAACAAAAGTTAAAAGTACAAGCTACGTCCAGTGATTTAGTTTTCATTTCTCACAACCTTTCACTGTTATAGAGTGATTAATAATTAACCATAATTACACGTTTAAACCTGAATAAACCCTAATTTAACAAAATAAAACAATTTTAAAAGAGTTTAACAGTTGTATTCCCCCCAAAAAGTCCACCGTTGTTAAAATTTATTCATTGTTTTAATTTATGCCACACTTACCAGACAGCAATTTAATTCTTACCGTATCTCTTAGTTAGATAGTCAGCCGACCGAGAGGACCAGACCGGTCCAACGACTAGAAAATATGTGCTCTGCGCTTTTCTTGTCATCCAGCCGCTGCGGCACGATACAACAACACACGAGGGCCACGTTTAAGTTCTGCCTCGTCTGAAATTCGGACGTGGGTCGTTACGACGGGGGCCTGAATTGGTTCGACTTCAACATACCCGCTTATCACGGGTAGGGAGGTTATGAGTATTCCTTCGGATCCGATGAAATATTAAAAATAACCTTTTTTTGTATTCTTAGATCTTTTTCGACGCAGGCTGTTTAATTTTAATGTGAAAGCTATTCTTTAGAATTAGTAGAAACCAACTGTAAAAGAGATTTTAAGTCACACAGCGGAGACGTTACCTATTCGACGTGGTAGGTAAATATGTCTGCCGCAAGTTGGTCAGCCTAACCCATCAATACGATAAGTTGTGAAAAGGTATTATATATACTGTACATAAAACATTAAGCAATTTAAAAGGGACTTATAAAGAAATCTAAATAAATTAAAACAATTTTCTGACGTTTATTTTTGTTAAATTTAATTTTAATTATATTTTAATTACTTTATAAATTAAGTACTCAGTATAGGCAGCGTAATAGCTATGCCCAGTGTTGTATTTTAAGATTCAGCACCCTGGGTTTTTAAGGTTAAAAATAATAATAAAAAACTCAAACCTTTAATTACCAAATAAAATCCCAGTGTTTTGATGTAGGCTTTTTTAAATTCTTATTGCATAGATAGGCGGACGAGCTCACAGCCCACCTGGTGCTAAGTGGTTACCGGAGCCCATAGAGCCCCATAGAACCCATCTAGAACGTAAATGCCGCCACCCACCTTGAGATATGAGTTCTAAGATCTCAGAATAGTTACAACGGCTGCCCCACTCTTCAAACCGAAACGCATTGCTGCTTTACGGCAAACATAGGCAGGGCGGTGGTACCTACCCGTGCGGACTCACAAGATGTCCTACTACCGGTAATTACGCAAATTATAATTTTGTGGGTTTGATTTTTATTACACGATGTTATTCCTTCATCGTGGAAGTCAATCGTGAACATATTTTGACAAGTACGTATTTCAATAGAAAAATTCGTACCCGCCTGCGGGATTCGAACACGTTGCATCGCTAGATACGAATGCACCGGACGTCTTATCCTTTAGGCCACAACTCCAAATGAAATTGAGAAAGATAGAATAAATGGAATAACTAAAGTCTATTAATCTAACAACTTAACGAATTTTGTATTTGCGCCGGCAATCGCAATTATTCATTGAATCAACATCTTTCCTTTTTTTCAAAGTAATGAATTGTTCCGTCTTAACGGGTGCTATTACTGAATAGAATTGAGACTTCAACCTTATCACCTTAGCCTTCAACGGCCGTCTGGTGTAGTGGTAAGTGACATGATCACTACACAAGGGGGTCGCGGGTTCGAATCCCGCCAAGGGAAGATATTTGTATGATCAATATAAATGTATTTTCCTGGGTTATGGATGTCTATTAAATATATGTATGTGTATAATAAAAATCTTATATTTATATCCGTTATCTGGTACCTGTAATACAAGTTCTTTACGAACTTATCACGGGACCAGTTAACGTGGCGTGATTGTTAGTAAATAGTTATTTATTTATTTATACCTCAAAGATCATTCATGATTTAATATCTAAGGCAGTGTTGACCGTCAACTGTCCATTTACCTACAATATGTAATCTATTCTATTCTGTTTGTGGTGTAAACAAGAAAAGCAGCCGATTATTTAGTTCGGCAGCAAATCGTGTTTCGTCGGACAGAATCAAAAACAGCAGCAGGGTTTAAAACTAGGCCTGTTCTTATTAGGAATTTTTTAACGCGCGACCATACAGCACTGATGGATAATACGTCACAAATTATTGCGTATTAATTATTCCAAATATTATCTTCATCTCACCTATGTACTTATGTACTAATCCGAACTAATACGCATGAAAAAAACCTGTTACATTTAAATATTTTTCGTTTGTTCGCGCGGCTTGTTATCCGCATTCTAGCAGGGCTATCGTTCTAAAATTTATTTCATTCAATAAAATAATTTAACGATTATTTTATGAAATTATTTACATATTAATCAAATACCTATTACATTGATGGCTTAGCTCCTAAAATTTCAGTACCGATGTCAGCCTTAATGCAAAAAAACAAATAGATTTGGGACTTTGAAATTTGTAGGAATATTTTCTATTAAGTAATTTTTTTGGGGTTGTAAGCGGCGAAAGGAAAAAAACTGTGAGGCCGAAAATTATGATAATTTTTTTCTATATTTTTTTTCAGTTTTCCTACGAAAGACTATTTGCTGTGTGATTTTTCTGATTGACATTTTGTTCTCCGACGACGAACATGCATAATCACGCTCCCCTTTCGACATTAATGTTATATCGTAACTAGTCCGCAACTTCGTCCGCGTACCTAGTATTAACCAAAAAAATTACTTTATTCTATAATAATTTTAGACTTTTTTCTAAAATAGAAATAGCCTATGTTACTTTTTATTATATCTATTTGCCAGTGAAAGACTCGTCAAAATCGGTGCAGCCCTTTCAGAGATTAGCCGGAACAAATGAACAAACAGACACACAGACAAACAAAAATATGGTATATGTACCATATATACCTACATTTATACGCATGGAGTAAAAATTGGTTATTTTAATATTAAAAAACAGACACTTAAATTTTATTTATTTGCATAGATTATTTATGTAGCTTTTGTTTACATCCTCTTACTGGTGGTAGGACCTCTTGTGAGTCCGCACGGGTAGGTACCACCATCCTGTCTATCTCTGCCATGCAGCAGTAATGTGCTTCGGTTTGAAGGGTGGGGCAGCCGTTGTAACTATGCTTAAGGCCTTGGAACTTTATCTCAGGGTGGGTGGCGGCATTGCGTTATGGATGCCTATGGTCTTCAGTAACCACTTAACACCAGGTGGGCTGTGAGGTCGTCCACCCATTTAAGCAATAAAAAAAACAAAAAAATGATCAACCGTTAGACGCCCTGCTAACAGTAGATAGGAAAAGGAGGAGGCTTTTATTTTTTCCCTTAATTTCTATCATTTTCTTGTACGTCGTTTGTATACTGAAGAAAAATCTACTTAATAGCCCACGTGCCTGGAGAGAGCAAGGCACTCCACTCCCAGCAACTGATTTCACTGCTGAAAACGTAGGGAGCAAGGTGCTCCACTCCCGTTTTTACTGTTGAAAATAATGCCACATATTTTCGGTATAAGGCAGATTAACTAGTTTGTTCCCAACCTCTAACCAAATGAACGTCACGTGCGTATCACAAATTCATAAAAATAAATCATAATGGTTCATTCAACAGCCAAACCCATATTGTACGTAATTATGGCGCCGTGAAACAGGTTTACCCAAAAACTGGACCGTAAATAAAAGCTGACGACATAGGTACGTAATAACGTAAATATTCTAATGAATCACGTTCGTGACATTATTTCCCTGTACTCGTATGTGAGTCTATTTCAATGAGAATAAATCGATACAATTTAAATTTTCGTAGCTTTCCAACGCGAGAGGTGAGAAAGAAATCCAAAGTTTTACCGTTGCATCGATGCGCGATTTGTTGCAAGACTCAAGAATACAATCGAGACTCAACAAAACGATATGTCTTACTTATGGAAACATACGAAGTGAACATAAAAAAGAAAACACACGAATGTAACATACTAAATAATGTAAATATTATAATAAATCACATTCGTGACATTACTTAGGTACCTGTTTAAACTTGTACGTGATTGTATTTTAATGGTAACCAGTGGTCCCCAAGTAGTCGAAGTTCGACTATAATTAATTGAAATTAAAGTTTGAATATTATTATGGTTCTATTGTCGAAGACTTTATTTCTATAATTACAGATTTCGCCAAGGCTACACTATAGAAAAATAATAAACGCCAAATAATGTTAATCTATTCTCAATTAGACCACAGACTTTTACAACAAACAAAAGAGTGTTTATAATTAATGGTATATGTGTGTGTGTGTGTGTGTGTGTCAAATAAATGGTTGAGTGTCTGATGTTTTTTTTAATGATTTAATGTATTTTTATGCATAATTAAAGAAAAATATTAGCATTCTGCACTTCTTCTCTATATTCTCTATAAATGTGGGATATTTCATACTCCTCCATCCGCGCCATTTCTGTAAAGAGTTTGAAATCAAAGTTTTTGCTTCATGTATTAATTTAAAGATTATTCAATACAATTTAAATTTTGGTAGATTTCTAACGCTGGTCGTGACAAAGAAGGCTGAAACGTAGCACCGTACAACGCTGCGTGCTTTTAAAATATCTTGCAAAACTCAAGAATACAATCAAATATAATAACATATTTAATATAACAACAACTTGGTGTTTATTTTCACTCCTGTCTACCTACTATAATTCTTTAAATTATCGCCATGTATTAACTTTATCACAGCTACGCACTTCTTGAATCTTTCGCTTCATCAACGAGGACTGGAACTGGAACTGGAACTGGAAGAGAATGCCTGCATGGCGTTTTGAGGAGGCTTAAACGACAAAGGGAAGATCTTTCACCG